TCTAAAGGACCGGCAACGCACCTGCAATTCCCCTGGTGTTGCGGATGTTCATGGGCGGCGGTAGTCACTTACCATCAGGTGAGCCGCATGCTCGTTTGTCTCCTATACTATAAAAAAATATAGTTTGAAAAAAAAAACAAGGACGTTCGATTTTAATTTATTAAATACGACCTAGATACACAAACAGCAATTGTAAGGCAAAATAAATTAACAGGTTATGTGTAGTTATGTTAAATAAATTATGAGGACGTTATTGACTTATCATATGTCAGCATGATAACGCTAGTGTTTTGCAAGTCATCCTTCCATATTTGAGCCGGCACATTTGTACTGCAGCGTGGCTCTACCGCGTAGGTACAAAATACCACTGTGATTCCGGTTTTGCTATCCAATCTGTCTCTGACTTTATCTTCGGGCATAGGTGGGATATGTATGCCGGGTTTAACGCTGACCGTAATTTACAGTACGCGAGTGAACCGGGTTCATTTCCCGCCGGAACAACTAAAATTTTTAATTGCAATAGAAGTGTTTATTTACCACATGTTCGGCGGTGTAAGAAATGTGTCCAGCAGTTAGACATATTATACAACATGTAACAAAAACCCAGTGGCTCCCATTAAGTGCGTTATCAGAATCAGTATTCAAACTTATTTTTTTTTTGTGTTCAAGTTTTCTGAAGTAAAGTTATTCCTATACGTTTGAATACTGGTTTTGGTGATCTCTATATATGTTGTATAGATACTTAACTTACTTTTATTTTTATAAACATATACATAAACACTTACGCCTGTCACCAAGAGGGGTAGGCAGAAACTACGAACTTCCATTTGGCACGATCCTGACATACCTCCCTCGCCTCCTTTACATCCGTATATCTAAGCATACACGCTCGTCGGTTAAGGGTACTTCTAATGTGGCCCATTTACTAAATATTATTTTTCTTAGCATTTATATTATATGTCAGAATAGTTCATAAAGCGAGTACGATGGACATGGGTTACTGCTTTTCCTAGCCTAGAAAAAATTGATATGACATTTCAATACGTCTACTTTAAGGCACTACTTACTCGTACTCACCTTTACCTACTTAATCATCACCATAATATCAGAACTAGACGAAAATCTCCGTAAAGCGGAGAAGCTCTGTGACTTGGTCACCAGATAGGGCTAAGTTCTTTCTACGGAGACAAACTCTTTCTACAGAGGCTGCTGCAAGCCACGGACACCTGTAGCCAACTTTAAACAAATAAGGCTACAGGTACGTTGTCATCTCTTAGGCCTAGGATAGAATTCCCACAGCCTATAATTATATTGACTCTACACCTTCAGGTCGGGACATAGCAGCACTGCTTATTGGCGGCAGAAATCGCTGAGCATCCACGACCATGTTTCTCCACTTCTGAGCGTGGGTGCTCAGGCTGCCCCGCGTATTTTGGGGGGGGGGTGCAAAATTCCGCTCAAGACTACAACTGCTCGGGGCAAACGGAGCAACAAGACCAAGGCGACCCCTGCCACGCTGTCCGTGAATTTCTGCAATATCAGGGGACTTCACTCTAACCTAAACGCCGTCCACTACCATCTCGAGACGGCGAGGCCGGCTGTGCTCTTTCTGACCGAGACGCAGGTGTCCTCTCCGGCTGATGTTTCGTATCAATCCTACCCGGGGTATAAACTGAAACACTCCTTTGTGCCTCGGGCTGGGGTTTACGTGTACGTCACAGAGGACATCTGTTCTCGACGCCTCAGCAGTCTTTAAGGTTCGGACCTGTCCATTCTTTGGCTACGCGTAGACATCGACGACCATCAGCGAGTATACGGGTGCCTTTATAGGTCACATAGCGGTAATGCCGAAACAGACCGATTCCTCGACCACGTCCAAATGGCGGCAGATTCGCTGCTACAGCAGATCCCCTCCGCAGAGATCGTGATCCTCGGCGACTTTAACGTCCATCACGCCGAATGGCTTGGTTCACGTTTAACCGATCATGCGGGGAGATCTGTTCATGATTTTGCCTTGGCATATGGTCTGACACAACTGGTTACTTCGCCTACGCGGATTCCAGATGTGGAGGATCATGCACCTTCCCTGTTGGATCCTCTGCTGACCTCTCACCCGGACGGATATCAGATTTCCGTCGACGCCCCTTTAGGCTCCTCGGACCATTGTCTTGTCCGGAGTGTGGTGTCACTCGCGCTGAAATCGCGGTTGCATTATGCAGGCTGCCGCCGTGTTTAGCACTATAGGTCAGCCGATTGGGATCGGATGCGGTCTTTCTTTGCATCCTACCCTTGGGGGCGGGTTTGCTTCTCGCCGGACGATCCCAACGTTGTTGCGGATTCTGTCGCTGATGTGGTACTTCAGGGTATGGAACTTTTTATTTCTTCCTCTGTGGTGCCCATTGGAGGCAAATCTCAGCCATGGTTTGGTCGCTCCTGTAAAATAGCATCATGCTATAAGCAGAAGTGCTACCAGGCCTGGGCTGACGCATCAGCGTCCCGGGATGTAAACACCAGTGCTCTAAAAAAGAAGTATAATTGCGCCTCTAGGTCCTTCAAAAGAGTCATTGTCAAGGCAAAGTCAGAGCACATAGTCAGAATTGGCGAGAAACTAGTTCGCCTTCCTTCTGGAACCCGTGCATTCTGGTCTCTCGCCAAGGCTGTCCAGGGGAAATCTGTCAGCCATCTCTTCCATTTCTGCACAGGGAGGACGACTCACTGGCCCATACCGCAAAGGAGAAAGCCGATCTTCTAGGCTCTTTGCGTCTAACTCGACTCTCGATGACGGGGGGAGTACGCCGCCGACCATCCCGTGGTGTGAGTGCTCCATGCCGGAAGTGCAGTTCACACAGCGCTCGTTTCGCAAAGCACTCCTCTCCCTGGACATCCACAAGTCGAGTGAGCCTGACGGAATCCCCCCCAATTATGCTGAGGATGTGTGCTCCGGAGTTGGCACCGGTCTTAACGCGTCATTTCCGGTACTCCTACTCCCTAGGCGTAGTCCCAAAATCATGGAAGATGGCTTTCGTCCACCCGATCCCTAAAAAGGCGACCGCTCAGACCCGTCCAACTACCGGCCTATCGCCATCACCTCCTTGTTCTCCAAAACAATGGAGTCCATTGTAAACTGCCAGCTCATGAGGTACCTTGAGGATCACCAGCTGATTAGTGACCGCCAATACGGTTTTCGCCGTGGTCGGTCAGCTAGTGAACTTCTGGTCTACCTAACTCACAGATGGGCGGAGGCAGTAGAGTCCAAGGGGGGAGGCATTGTCCGTTAGTTTGGACATTGCGAAGGCCTTCGATCGGGTTTGGCACAAAGTGCTTCCTTCGAAGCTCCCTTCCTATGGGCTTCCCGAGAAATTCTGCGATTGGATCACCAGCTTTCTTGCAGATCGGAGCATCAAGGTCGTTGTAGATGGTGCAAGCTCCGATTGCAAGCCTATTAATGCTGGTGTTCCACAGGGCTGCGTGCTATTGCCAACGCTGTTTCTTCTGCATATCATTGATATGTTGCAAACCCGTAACATTCATTGCTATGCAGATGACAGCACTGGTGATGCTCTTTACACCGGTCGGCCAATATTTCTCGGGAAAACGTCTACGAGTGCCGGAACAAACTTGTCTGAAGTCGAGTCTTTGCTGAACAGAGTCTCGGATTGGGGGCGACTAACTCTAGTCCAGTTTAACACCCAGAAGACACAAGTTTGCGCGTTAACCGCTAAAAAGAACCCCTTTGTCGTATCCCCTCAGTTTCAAGGCACTCCCCCTTGTTGCCTCAGCCAGTATTGGAATCCTCGGCGTCGACATATCGAGTGACGTGCAGTTTCGTGGTCACTTGGAAGGGAAGGCCAAATTGGCCTCTAAAAAGCTTGGCGTGCTCAGCAGAGCGGGACAGTATTTCATGCCGGCACACCGCCTGCAACTTTACAATTCGCAGGTTCGGCCGCACATGGAATACTGTTCCCATCTCTGGGCTGGGGCCCCCAGTACCAGCTCCTTCCACTTGACCGCATCTAGCGCAGAGCGGCTCGAATCGTCGACGACCGAGTGCTTTCCGATCGGCTCGATTCACTGGCACTGCGAAGAGATGTTGCATCCCTTTGCATTTTCTTTCGCATATACCATGGGGAGTGCTCTGAGGAATTGTTCGGATTAATCCCAGCCGCCAAATTTCGTGAACGCTGCAAATGTCCCGATACTATCCACACCATCTGGATGCTTGGCGGTCCACCACTGTACGTTTCAAAAGGAGTTTTCTTCCGCGTACAACCTCTCTGTGGAATAGTTTACCACCGGCGATTTTTCTGGACCGATATGACCTGGGGACCTTCAAGAAAAGGGCTTACTCCTTTCTAAAGGGCGGGCAACGCACCTGCAATTCCCCTGGTGTTGCGGTTGGTCATGGGCGGCGGTAATCACTTAACATCAGGTGAGCCGCATGCTCGTATGCCCCCTCGTCTATAAAAAAAACACGCTAACGCTATTATGTGATGTTTGTTAAAGCTATATTATATATTAATCTTTGATAATTGAATAAGAAAAATGAAACGAATAAAATAATTATGAAATAGTCATGAAGAACAATATAAAGTGACCTTAAAATGTTTCATTCTATGAATATGCTAAATTATTATGCAGTGTGCACCTAGCAACTACGATTACGATGCATTTTGATACTTTATTTAAACCAATGTGGTTCTAGCGACTCATTTTCTTTCGCAACCTTTTTCATAAGTGTTCTAAAAATTGACGAAAATAATAATTAATTAATCGAAAGTTGTCACAAAACACTTTTTTCTTCAATTGTACGCGCTTGTACTTACTCTTAAATTTACAAGAAGCTTCATTTTCAACCCGCGATTCCGTGAACTTAAGTGAAAAGTAACGTGCTGGTTATGTCGTGTTAAGTGATTTTTATTTCGAATCGATTTGGAGAAATGTTAATTATTAACTTAATCTTATGTTTAGCGACCTTTGTTATCGCAGGTCCAACGACTGAAATGTACAAAAATCAATGTAAGTAAAGTAAACCTACAATATGAAATACGTTGCGCTGCTGGGTACAGGCCTGCTTTCATTCTGGGAAGGTTATGGAGAAATTAGTTCGCCGCGCTGCCCTAAGACGTCTTCACGGATTTCACAAGTCTTCGAAATATTTTTATTCATTAGACATGCAGGCATTTACGGCTAGAGCCGTGTCATTGAGCTACCACGGCTCCAATGTAAGTTACTAAATAACAAAAGTAAACGACTAGTAGTAAGTATCGAATATTTTCAAAGGATATCAATGTAGATTAGGGGTTGTAAGGGTGAAAGCAACTTAAATGAAATATCAATCTCACGTAGAAAGTTCCCTACTAATTAACGAACGAGGCTCTGATGATCAAGAAATGACTGTGAAAACCTTCGAAAATGACGAATCCAAACGACACAGGCTGGAGATGGAAAGCAGCATCATTGATGCGAGAGTATCGGACCCTCTCCCTTGGACTCTACGGCCTCCGCCCATCTATGAGTAAAGTAGACCAGAAGATCACCAGCTGATCGAACACGACGGAAACCGTACTGGCGGTCGCTGATCAGTAGGTGATTCTCAAGGTACCTCATGAGCTGGCAGTTTACAATACTCTATTATTTTGGAGAACAAGGAGGTGATGGCGATAGGTCTGTAGTTGGACGGGTCTGAGCGGTCGCCTTTTTTAGGGATCGGGTGGAGCAACCCTATCTTCCAAGAATTCGGGATTTCCTCGTCAGCCAACCTGCCCAGCTCCTTAATCCTTTTCCAGGTAGAAAGGATTATCCAGCAATGGCTTAAGAATTGCTTTTAATAATGAAAAAGAAGATTATATCAGCTTTGAAAATATTTATTTTGTATAATTTGCCACGTCGTATTGGATAGATTTAGATAAAACCTAGTCTAATATTCATTTATATAAATAAGTATACATGAAATCAAATTGAATCGCTAAACTCGAATGAATTGTGATAAAACTTTAAAAATAGGAGACAGTACGTGGTTATACGTGATAGAGCCACGTTGCAGCTATATAATGGTTGTAGCACGAATGAATCGGCTCGACCGGGGAAGGACCACGCTCTCACAGAATACCAACGTAAAATAGCAGCTTAATACTGCTGTGTTTCGTATGGTGAGTGTAGAGATCCGGAGACCCTTTTTTTATTGGAAACGAGGCATTCCATCTTAATCCTCAGGGGTGACAACGCATCTGTGTTTTGATTCTTAATCGAGGATAAATGTAGATGTCCACGGGCCACAGCATCCACTTACCATCAGGTGGACTGTGTGCTCGTTTGTCTCCCTTATTCTATAAAAAAAATGCCTGCGGTCTAGGATTTATTTCCTAAAACCATGCAAGTTATTTATTGTGAAATCCAAAAACATATAAAATAATTGTTCTTTGATGAATATCGTATAAACTGTACGGAATATAAAAAAATATAAACGGAAAGGACTTTCTTGTTTGCAATTTTACATAAAAAAGGTTCTAACACTTTATCTCCTAGCTTGATAAAAATAGATTTTTAACATTTTTTACATCAAAACCAATATACAACATCAAAGGGTGTGTGTGAAGACTTTTATAACGTAAACAGCATTAAAGGATACTTTTAAGCTATTGCATAGCTTTTATCGCGGGCTTTGAGCGCGACGACCGAATCAAGAAATTCCGTAACGAAAATTAACCAACACCACAAAACCTAACATCGTCTAACGTCGTTTAAGTTCGGCAGACTTCGGCACGGTGTTTGTGTGCGTGCGACTAGACGTATGCGTATAGACTAGTTGCATGTATTGTAAGATAAAAATATTTTAAACAATAATATAGTTTATTGCAAGAAGCATATTCGCTATTAGCTCGTATAAATCCAAAGGATTTATATGAGTCGTCGTCATGTTAGCAACTTTCGTGAATTTAGAGTATTTAATAAACACAGACTTTATAGAAAATTATCGTTTGTCGGAAGAACTCGTTAATAAATTGTTAGAAGTTATCAAACATCTTTTGAAAACTCCGCAGCGTCGACGACGCGGATTGTCAGTAAAATAAAAGGTAAGTCTTTTTAAAATACCCATTGGTATTTTACAACTTAAATCTAACTTCTTTAAGCATAACTGTGTATAAGTGGCTGCCATGAATCTAAAAAGTACTTTGCATAACTTAGATAAGAAGCTGCAGTTATGACGTTACTGAAGTCAAGTGGTATCCACCATAACATTCTAAATGAGAGGTCCTATTATATTAGCTTACAAAAAAATACAATAAATAACATAAATAAATAATTATAATTGCATAAGTTGATAAAAATGCTATGCAATAGCTTTCCGCGGCAGTCTCCGAGTGCCACACGTATTTTATTTACTTGAAATTAATATATCTTAAAGTTTTATATAAACATTTTCCCTTACTGAGTAAAGTTTTCGAGATAATAGCAAAAAATAACTGAGTTTAAAGTGGTTTTACGGTAATTGCACTACTTGCTCAATACAACTGTTAAAGATCTGTAGCTTTTTTGTTTAAATTCTACGCGGATGAAGTCGCTGTTAAAAGCTAATCAATAATAAATAACTTTTTATAAGTATTCCAAATTCAACTAAAATCATATTTTGCAACAAATCTCATCTTAGTGTATATCCCAGTTGATATCTACATGGTCTTTGGGCAAATTAAAATAATTTATTTCATTAGTTATACGATTTAACAAAATATCTGCCTTTTTATCTAGATCACTCCTGGCTTCGCTATTTACCTGTTTTTAGAGTTTCATCACAAACGATTCAGCTATTCCGTAGATCGGCCATGATTAGAGATTCAAGTTTTATTAGACACCTGAGCTAATAATAACCCCCGAAGCTCAATAGGAGCCAGTTGTTTCGATATAAAGACAGATAATTCAATATTATTTACTTGTATGTATAGATTGCACGGACCCTAGAACTATGAAGAAGCATGCTGCGTACACAGAATGGGCTGACGCATATTCTTGCACGAGGCACAGGTGCCAACCTGGTGGACGAAACTTGGCTATCTACACTGTAGGGTACGTAAATTAATTTTTACTCAATATGACTAAGCGGCTGCGATAGGTACAGTTTTATATTTTACAGATTAAGAAAAAAACATTTCTTGATATAAGTTTTCGACGCGCTGAGCTTTTTTATCTGGGTTTTATAACATCATTTGTTGATCTCTTTCTTTTCCTTGTTGCAACACCAAATTGAATGGTTCACGTACATTTGTAGGAAGTAATTTGTTTAACATTGCCAATAATTGGCAATGTTAAACAAATTATATTATATTATATATGGCATCACGGTTACTACAACAGCTACAATTATTATAAATGTTGTAGTAACCGTGATACCATTTTACTCAATAGGGAGTCGACATATTGGAAAAAACACCTCCTGTGTCATGATCTGAATTCAAATTCAGATTCTCTTACACCGATAGGCGGCAGTTTTATTTAAATCGAAACATATTGTTACGAGCTTAGGGTTCGTGACAATAAAAATTTCCGATTGAATTACCAAAATTGACACTTTAACTACCGACAGCAAATAAAACTTAAAACACACTAATAATTAAACACACTTAATACTTTAGTTCACTATATAAGTGTTCGCTTGTGTCGTCAATTCAATACTGCCCCGGTTGCGCTCCTTATCGACTTTATAACCTCTTATACATATAAGTATTCCGAGGGCAAAAAGTAGGATGTTCTGCATCATTTAATAAGTAACCTTTATACGTCCCATCGCTGGGCATTTTCTTATTTCTGAGAGAAGGTTTGGTGGACAGGGATGACTTAATTTATCGCACTGCCCTATTGCCTGATGACAACCTCATTTATTTACTTAATTTATATACTTTAGTTGTGCTTACAATATTTTTTTACCTACCACTGGCACCGATTACGTAAATCAAATTTTAAAAGTGCTATCAACAATATTGTTGGTTTCGGCGAAAATCGAAATTAGATTTTTTGCGTGAATGCGGGCACTTATTTCCTGAGCTGGCACTCTTTCCGTTATTAATCAAGTAATGTAGTATAATCGCAATTATGCTCTCGATTATTGAAAACCTGTTAATATCCTGCTGATTTAAAGGTTCTTTTATATTTTATTGTATCAATAACATTGAATTTTTGTATTTTATTTTCAAGAGCTGTGATAATACTGTTACAAGCTTAGGGTTCGTGACAAAAAACTGCTTATTGAATTGCCAAAATTGACACTTTACCGAACACCAATTAAAACTTAAAACACACTAATAATAATTAATCACAGTTAACACTTAAGTTCACTTTATTTCGCTCCGTAGTCTTCACTTGGATCGCCAATTCAATACTGCCCCGGTTGCGCTCCTTACCGACTTTATATAGGACCTTTTACACCGAAAACATCTAGAATGTTCTAGAAAGATCTTGACGTTCCTATTTCTGCTACTTGATACCAGATGGCGCTAATAAACACCCGCCACAAACCGGGTATTCATTATGGCGCGCAACAATATGAAAGTAAATCTGAAAGAACCTCAGATGATTGAATTTTATTCCTCTTCTGCGAATCTTCTGAATAGTAGTACTGAGTAGTTTGCCGCAAACACATCTGTGGCTTTCTTTTTTTAATTTGTTTGTTGTTTATCTCTTTCGTATTTTCAATCGTACGTTTCACATTTTAGTGCAAGTTTTTTAAGTAGTCCTTTGACTATTTAAGGTTTTCAACATTGATTCTTCAAGTATCTCATTCAATTGGAATCATGGTATTGAATATTTTGACAATTATGAAAATTATCCAACGGTTACGTGCGGCTAGGGGAAGGGAAATCTTTTCTCTTGACTGAACCACCTCATTTAACATGAGACAATCAGCAAACCATAGCAAATACTTCCATTTCTAATTTAGATGAGGCTGAATTTGAAAACAGGCTAATGATTTATAGATGTTTGCTTCAACATGTTATGTTAAAGGAAAGTTTTAATGAATTTTACCACAGAAATCGCAATAATAAGACGATAGAAGTGGCATAGACGCGTGACCTTGTCGCCGCTATGATATGTTGACGAACATCATTCACCATTTTATGATTTAGTTGCGCGGGGAACGTCGTACGTGAATTTATGTTATTATAATGCTACACTGCAGCATAATCAGTTGTAAAAACTCACCAAGGACGTGTAAATCAATTAATAAAGGCATAATATTTCATCGGTAAGATGATTATTTACTAATTATCGTTGTTTTAATTTAGAGTTAAGTTATATTTTAAATTTACATCTAGATGAATACTTTACTACGATATTTACCTTTGTAAACTTTAATTTAATACTTTTCGTATTGTACAATTGCTATTGCTGCTTTCGTTCTACCGTAATACGCGACGTTGACAAACTCGCTCGCTGAAAACACTTTATAATACGGCTACAGGCATTGGTCGCTTAATGCGGTATGTATTAAAATGTAGCGACATCGGTTTTGGAAGCAATCGAGTGCTAATTCATTCCTATTGTCTTATTACTACTATTTCTGTGAATTTTACAGACCCTGTTAATAAACATCTCTTAATAGGTAAAACTAATAACATCTAGGTTGCAAGGTTTAACAGACTCCTTCAAACCTTGCAATCTAGGATTGATTGATATTTAAATATATTTTATGACTAACCTTGATCAGTTAGATAGATTCTTTTAAATAAGATAGGTACCTAATTCAAATTGTTCACTCCAAAAGGTGACTCAAAGAAATTCTTGAAAGAATCATTTTGTAATAAAACATTCCAAGAAAATTATCCCATAAAAATACGTCGTCTAAAACACTTATCGATCCATTTGTTTTTCAAAAGATTGTATTTATCTTTGTATTTAACACTCTTCCATTACACTGAGCTATTACGGTTTGACCGATATTTCAGCTTATATGAACGGAACGGTGAGAGAAATTTAAAAAAAAATCCTGGAATCTACAGCGCACTTTGATTTATATTAACTATTAAGTTTATTGTGTGCCATCATATTATCATCTTCTCCCAAATGGTCGATCGGTTGATTCACTTGTCGGGTATAGATGTTAGATACATCTCCTAACGCTACGTTTTATAGCTTTAAGATCTATGTGTATTTAATTATTTAAATGCGACAACAGTTACTATCTGATTTATTATATTATACTCATGTTTGGCTATCGTCTGTTGGTAATTATTTCGCCATTGTTCTCTTGATTATAGTTATCTACTGTTCCAGATGCAAGCGCGTGGAACCACCGGAATCCGCCATCGAATGCGAAGAAGTTGTAGAAGATACTAATATGCAATTCCCGTACTGCTGCACGCGTCTTAGGTACTTTAATTTAAACTATGGAAATGATTTAATTTAAATTATTTCGAATCAATTTCGTAAGCAGAGCTCTATCGGTTTTTTTATGAAACATTTAGCCTAGCGATTTGTTTGCAAGGTGATAATGGGTTCTGTACTTCATCATTACTGTAATTAACTATGACTGTTAATGACCTTTTCTATTTAATCAATTTTTTGAAATCAGTTGTGTGATTTGTGTGCCGATAATTTAACATCATAAGAAAATTCATTTCTTTTCTTATCATGCAGGCAACATTTAAATGAATAAAGGAAATCTTGCGGCTTCAGTACAAACTAGATTGGCGATTGCAGTAACAGATGAAGCGGTAGGTTCAGCGGTAAACGCACTGGGCGTGTGATATCCAATCCGGCGAAATCACTTTCCCCCACCCCATCCACCCCTCGTCGCAACGCAATGTAATTGCGATGCCACAATTATTTCTAATATTTACAGATGTTTGGTGGTGGTACGAGGAGAAGTTTGGACCCGCGTGTTAGGTCAACCTTGGGAGACACTTCCTGCGGCGCCATGGAGTCACATGTACAAGATGAAGAAACCCCCACCCACTGACAGCAGTTTTATTCCAAAGTTTGTATAATTCATGATTTGTCTTATTACAAAACGTGCTTTAATGATAGTCTCAGGTTCTAATAAGTCTTTATCACGAAAAAGTCTTTCGGCGCCACAGTCTTCACGAATTTTTTTATTTGCTATCATACGATATGTTTTTATTGAAACAGTCAAGATATAAGAATTTAAAAAAAAACTTGACACGTATTGATCATGAGCTGTGATTAATTACTTTATTTTGTAATACTAGGAGAAAGTTATGAAGTTATTGTATTGACATCGATCCTTGATAAGAGTGCAAAATTTCAAGTGAATCGGCCATCTACAAGTTTGCGAAAATTACAATAAAAGATTTTTTTAGATAGATATATGGATATAAGTGAAGGTAATTAAAGCTTATTAAAAACGTGACTGTTAATAATGTTACGCGCTCAAGTCGACGATACACTAGCGCCATCTAGTGTCAGGAACGAGAGCGAGGGGAGCATTGAGAAAATGACATCACAAATCACTCAACCGACAGCGCCTAGTCGAAACTCGAACGCTCGGTACCTTGCGCGTGTTTACTTGAACATTCTGGATATTTCTTTGCTAATTTAAATATATAGGCGCTGCAAGATGCGATCGAGGCAGAGTTGAACTCGGCGACACAAGCGAAGCTTCGGAGCGGAATTAAGTGAATTAGTGTGTTTAATTATTAGTGTTTTTAGTTTTAATTTGTGTAAAGTAAATTAAAGTGTTAATTTAGGTAATTTTATCGGCAATTTTTATTGTCACGAACCCTAAGCTCGTAACAATTGGTGTCAGAAGTGGGATAAAATCATGCCGATTTTACCTAAGGAAGAAACGGAGGGTGTCCGTACCCGAAATCAACGCCAGCAGGAGACAGACCAAAGAAGATTTGGTGGTGCAACGCCGCAGACTTCTGAAGGCCAGCCACCTGCTGCAGGCCCGTCAGTAGCTCCTACATCTGCAGCACCTGACTTAGGTGTTCTGATGGTGATCCTGCAGGAACAGGCTCGCCGACAGGAGGAACAGGTCCGTCAGTTGAAAGAGCAGCTGCAGAGCGGACAAGAGGAACAGGCCCGCCGACAGGAGGAACAGGCCCGCCGACAGGAGGAACAGATGCTCCTCATGAAGGACCTTCACGCTACCTTTGGGAAAGAGATAAGGGAGGTGAAGGATAGGGTTGCTCAACATGACAACCGCCTGTCGGAAGCTGAAACCCGAATCGAAGAACATGAAACCCGAATCAACCATGTGAACAATCGGGTTGACAATGTGATGGCTGACGTGAAGAAAACGCTGAACGACCTCAAACTTGGGGATGGAACTACAGCTCCCGTAGTAGCTGCAGCACCTTCGCTACGTGGATTCAAAGTGCCGCCGTTCGACGGGACCTCTTCCTGGTCGGCCTACAAAATCCAGTTCGAGGCCGTCATGGAGGCGAACGGCTGGAATAAAAGCCAAGCCATGACTGCACTCACCCTAGGCCTGCGCGACCAAGCCTTAACTGTGTTGGAAGCTCTCGGTAAGAAAGTGACCTATGAGCAGCTTCTTGAGGCCTTGGAAGCGAGATATGGCGACGCTCATCTGGAACACGTCTTTCGCGCGCAGCTTAAAGATCGCGTGCAGCGCAGCAACGAGAACCTGCAGCAGTGGGCCCTTGAGGTGGAGAAGATGGTTCGAAAAGCATACCAGTCTGTACCTGCGCTCATTGAAGGGAACCTGGTGCAGACATTCATCGACGGCATCCGCGACCTGGAAGTCAGAGCTGCTGTGAGGCTCGGGCACCACGAGACGCTTAAGGACGCCTTGGCCCATGCACTGGAAGTGGAAGCCGTGCAACAGGATCATCGTTCCCATCGCGTCAGGGAGGTTGCAGCAGCTACAGTTCGCGACCGCAACAAAGGATACAGCCCAAGGTGCTATGGCTGTGGGGAAAAGGGCCATCTTCGATCCAGCTGCCCTAAACTAACCTTGGAAAGGAGAGTTGAACGATCCCAGGTGGGTAGTGCGGCTAACAGCGCCGCCCAGCAGCAGCAGGAATACGACTTTACTATCAGACACTGCAGCGGGAAATCTCACGGCAACGCAGATGCATTGACAAGAAGACCTTGTCCTGAAGATTGCAACCATTGTAGTAGGCAAGAGAGTAAGGAAGTGGTATCCGTGAGGATGCTCAGGACAGACCACCTCAGCAACGGGTGGAAGGACAGCCTACGACATGCACAGCAGGAAGATCCGGACATCAAGCCGATTCTGGGATGGATGAAGGCCCGTGCTACCAAGCCTAAGTGGAGGGACGTCTCAGCGATGAGTTCAACCACGAAAAGCTATTGGGCCCAATGAGACAGCTTGCTGATTCAGGATGGAGTCCTGTGCCGTAAATGGGACAAAGGTCGAAGGGACAGCTGTCGTTTGCAAATGGTTGTCCCTAAAGCTAAAGTGCCGAATGTTCTACAGCTGTGCCATAATGGTCGTTCAAGTGTCCATCTGGGAGTTAAACGAACTCTACTGAAGGTCCGAGAACAGTTTTACTGGGTCCATTATCGTGACGATGTCGAGGATTGGTGTCGTACATGTACAAGTTGTGCGGCCGTGCGGTGACCTCAGACACGTAGTAGAGGAGCACCGAAATTGTACAATGTTGGTGCACCACGGGATAGAACAGCCCTTGACATTGCGGAGTCGTTACAGAAAGGCGCAAGAGGGACTCCTAAGATCGTCCATGTGAATCGCTTGGCGCGTTATTATGGGGCCGATAATGCTCGGGACGAGCATGTCTTAGGAGGGGGCAGTGTTACGCGCTCAAGTCGACGATACACTAGCGCCATCTAGTGTCAGGAACGAGAGCGAGGGGAGCATTGAGAAAATGAGATCACAAATCACTCAACCGACAGCGCCTAGTCGAAACTCGAACGCTCGGTACCTTGCCGCACCTTGCGCGTGTTTACTTGAACATTCTGGATATTTCTTTGCTAATTTAAATATATAGGCGCTGCAAGATGCGATCGAGGCAGAGTTGAACTCGGCGACACAAGCGAAGCTTCGGAGCGGAATTAAGTGAATTAGTGTGTTTAATTATTAGTGTTTTTAGTTTTAATTTGTGTAAAGTAAATTAAAGTGTTAATTTAGGTAATTTTATCGGCAATTTTTATTGTCACGAACCCTAAGCTCGTAACAATAATTTACTTTTTCGAAGTCGAGTCGATTACCATCTTATAACAAAACGTGGTTAAAGAACTCCCTGGTCAACTATGGGTTAAAAAGAGACTTTCTAAATTTAAAAATCTCTTACCAAAACCATAGTTTTAGTGAAATTTAACGTTTGCTCTATATTCTATACGTTAAATTTTAGTTATTTTCCTTGTTTACTCCATAGCACTTCTTTATTCAAACAGATTCTATAATTATATTGTTTAAATAAATAATAAAAAGGGAGTGTTACAATTTACATATTATATGGCTTGCTTCAAGAAACAATGCCGCAATAGCAGTTGCAGTCAAAACTAAGACTTGGCCTCTATTGCTATTTGACCTTCATAAACCTTTATTTCATAGTTATTTGGACTAAACCATGAACACTACTTGCGACTATGTTAACGGCCACATACACATAGTCGGAAAATTTTAAATTTAAGCCAAAACATTGTTTAATCTATGCTCTGCGTTTAACTTGCTTTCTTCGTATGTCTTTTCGGTTCAAAAATTGTAAGCCATTCAATCGGATTTCAAAAGCATTTGCTGACATCCGATTGAGCTGACTTGGGCGAACTTATATAACTTCGATGATAATGTATTAATATGTTAATGATGTCCCTAGCAACGCATACCAAAGCTTGTTTTTAAATTTAAAATTAAAAAAATTATTAACTATGTTACATCTCTTTCACCCAATAGGATCGGTGAGGGTCCCATATATGAGCTAGCCGCTGAGTCAGATGATAGCGGCAAGAAAGTGTTCAGGGCGTCAAATAGGGTGACCACTGTCAACCCTGACTGTAAAGACGTGGTACCGAGGGCGAACCAGGCACCGGACATACTCGTGAGTACATGAGTCACACATTTTTAGTATTGCCATTTTGTTGCTTATTTCTTAAATATACAATGCTGTGAGATCATGCTGCTGGTGTTCGTGGTTTTGGTCAAGACGGCGAATCTCAACAAAGATAAGTCATCTGTACAGGACGGGATTCTGGTGCATGAGTGAGTGCAAAGGCACAGGTACACTCTCTATGCAAATTCTCTCATAGTCTGATTGGAAATCAATCCACCAGACCAAAAAAAGATCAGGCGCACGATTAAACAGTTTTACGTGCATTTCACGGCACAGGTATGAAAACATGAGGGGAGAAATTCTTGACAGAATAACCAAATAACTGACTTCATGCGACCCGGGATTCGGAGCCTAATGCTCTAGTCCAGTGCACCGCAAAGATTTTGTAATTATAAAATCTGATTAGATCAGACGGCAATTATAAGGAAAGGAACATTGTTCTTAGAACAGTCTAACTCTCTGTACTGACAATAAGTTTTGAAATTTGAATTCTGTGGGACTTTATAGAATGTAGTGATTTTATTATAATCAGCTTATTTACCTATATAGCAGCGTTTTCTTAGTAATTAGACAAGCATATTGCGAAATGAAAGCAATCCCAAGGGGGGCTCAATGAAATCCAGGCGGCTATTCGTTGACTTAGTGACATAGATATAGGATGGATTGTGTGAGAGATAATATGGCTATAAAGGGGGTAAATACAGCGATGACGGCTGATTGGGATGTATGGAAGACAACATGCTGCGTAGTTTCTTATAAAATTGGGTTAAGGGCAGGAGCATTATTATAATAAAATTATATCGATCTGATTGATTTCGGGCACGGAGGTAAGAGTAGGATACGAAGGTATAATTATAGTTCAGTAAAATTATAATCATCAACATAATCGTCCTTATCATTAGGCCTATGTTCGACAGTGGACTCGTGAAGGGCTGTTGTATAATATATAATATAATAATTATAATGATGTTATTTAATTGCCATTACAACCAAGATTTAAATTTATTTTCATTTGACTAGATTATTATATTCAATGTACACTTTTTTCAAGCTTTTTACCTCCGTTCCTGAATTGATTCAGGTTGTACGTGTACTTACATTCATATTTTTTGCATTAATTAAGACAAAGTTTTTACATAGAAGTCTGAAGTAAAATTATCCACCAATAAATGTCCGACTTGGGACAAGACTAAAATACGTTTGTCTTGCCTCCGACAAACTGATAGTCTTTCCCCAGCTTACAACTTCTAGGTTATGTTTTTGTTTCGCTAAATATTTAGAAAAAAAACATCGTTTAACGTTAAATTGATGTAACTTCTTAAAAGATAATTTTCGTAGAATGCTGTCTACCTTGAGAACACTTCGATTTTTGCTCAATTTTTTAAATTCCATTAACCCGGCAAATTTGATAAATTGTTTTTACTTCTAAGATTTTTTAATGACATTTTTCGGGCATATTTACTTACAGTAGCAACATCTATGTCTTGAACCGCAAACTTTAGCGTATGAATTGTTTTACCGACTAAGAGAATTTCGTAAGGAAGCTATACTTATCGGGATACTAAACAGTGATTTTCTTGCCACGGTGATAGTCTAACCCCACCTCACCCTATATAAAATACGGGGTTATTTTTCAACGAGAAGCCAAATTTTAAACTTAAGTTCAAATATTATATAAATAATAATTTACCGTTATTGCAGTTTTTGAAAATACAATTAAATAAAGCTTCTACTTTTATTTGAAATTATTCCAAATTGAGTGTGATTTATAGACAACAACGTTTTTGCCTACCGATCGTAAGGGTACGAATGAGTGCAGAGTAAAATCAGTTAAATAATGTTTGAGATTTTTTTGATTAATTTTTCTTCACCGTTTCACTATATTACTTATTCTGAAGCTTCATTATCATACTTTTTATTATAAAATCACATCCACAGGTTACCTTTATATATTATACTATCTATATATATGGAAAATATTACTTCAGAGTTTGTGGACATTACTAACACATTAGATCATCTTTATAAAAGTGAATTAGGCGAATTTGTTACAGATTGCACTGAACAAGAATGAAATAGAATCCAAAAAGACATCAGAATTAATAAGGTAATGCAACAATTTTTCACATTGAATAAAATAAATTTAATCGATTTTATAGTATTCAGTTTTCACTTTTTTTCTAGAATAAGGTTGACAAACAAGCACAAAGTCCACCTGAGGGTGCTGTGGCCCCCATAGACATCTATATTTATCCTCAATTAAGAATCAAAATGCAATTGAGTTGTCACCCCAGAGGACTAAGATGGAATGCCTCGTATCCGGAAACAAGGGTATCCGATTCTCTACACTCACCATTAGAAACACTGATTTTATGCTGGTATTCTGTGAGAGCACTGTCCTTCCCCCGCCGAGCTGACCCATTCGTGCTAAAACAACTATAATATAGCTGCATCATAGCTCTACCAGCAACCAGTACCAGTACCTCGTTAAGTGCTTTGCAGGTCAACTTTGAACTGCATTAATGTATTATGTAACTGTAGTGTTTGACATTCCAATAATATCATAGTCAGGCTGTAATTATATTTTTATGTATAATCTATACAAGTCGAGAATTTAAAACAATATTCAAAGAAGCCATAAAGTAACGAAGAAGAAAAAGAATTTGAAAAAAAAAATTTGTAGCGGCTTGAAAATAAAAGAGATAAATAGCAGTGAGGGTAGAACACGAAATTCCCACTCGTTTGAGTAGTATAAAGTTTGACACGGGTCACGCAGGTGTTAAGTTGGGTATCCACTTGTGTGCGATGACTCATTTCTATGTTCATTATACAACGGCTCTACACACTACATTCAACTAATTATACAAAACGGTAGCTGTCAAAACATTTTTAAATTATTACTTGGGCGCAATCTGAAATAATAATAAGACATTTTATATCAGAAATTATTTAGGTTAAGGAGTTGATATTTATGTTGTTTTTATCAGAAAAAAACGAGTAAGGAAAACCAATTCACCTTCATTTCCAAGACAGAACGTTGATGAAGAAGTACAGGAAATACATAATGATGCAGAATTTGAAGAAACTCCTACTACCGAAAAAGTAAGGATTATTCATTTTTATTCGATTCTTAAAATATATGCCTAGTTAATAGTTTCGAGATCTATTAAATTGGGTGATTGCAACTTATTTTAAGTGTCAAAAAAATCTAATTGTCCAAATAGGAAGAACGAACCAACAACCTCGTCATTAAATTAGTTATTATCACAGCGGTATTTGATGAGGTAATTTTTTGATTGCTTGCACAAAAGATGTATTAAACTGCGAGATTAAAAAGTTGTGAACTCGAATCGCCTTTCGACTACTGTCGTGTTAGGTTACTATTATTGCGTAACTATTATTGTTAGATTAATGTTAGGTTAATAACTATTATATTATTGTTTATAACAGAATTACTCGATTTAACTTTATATTATAATTACTATTAGTTGTTAACATTAATGATTATGGATAATAGAGTAATATAATTTAACCGGAAGAATAATGTTTTGGTTTCTGTAAAAGAGTGGGGCGGATATGATGCCGCCCCACCCTGCTAACGAGTGCAAAAGGTTGATTAGTAAATGGAGAGTGGCATTAGCTCAACTCGAGTCGTCGCAGTAACACTTGAAGTTAAGTTGAATTGTGTATAAGTTTAAATTGTAAAGTGAACCAAAGTGTAATAGTTTGAATCTACCGTTTTGTTTTCTACCTGGACTCTAAATAGTATTTTAGAAAGTGATATAAAGTGTAATAGTTGGAATCAACCCTTTTATTTTCTACCTGATCTTGAAATAGTACAACAGATCAGAAGTGGGATAAACAAGATACATATTTAATTATCTTGCCACGTGCACCGCTCGAATAACGTAAGTATTTTTTCGTGTATATAAATTGATATTTCGCATATTTTCCTACTAAGTATAACTGTAATTGATGATTTTAAAGTTTGATGAATAATGAAATTAGGCCATTTATGTGATTAGTTTTTTTTATTATTCTACCAGGCTTTTTTTCACATATAAGTCGTGAAAATTAAAAACGTAATACTGATAATGAAACTCTGTTTCGTTTGATAATACACGACATTATGAAAACTAAATAAATTTGTCAATGTTATAACTATTTATTGCAATATGATGAATCTGTACCAATAATAAATATGACTAAAATAACCTACACAGCTTAACTATTTAATGTGCAACTTTTAAAATGGTCAGGTTCTAATTATAGAATTAATTTGCTATGTACATTAAAAGAAAATCTCTGGACAAATTCTAAGCTTACATCTGTAAGTTTCAGATAATCTGAGCTATTATGGATGACGAAATTGCTCAAGGACAACAGCAAGGACGAATGACTCGAGGTAAGGGTTGAATGAGATTATTGATGATGCGACCGGTCGAGGGGAAGGACTGGCGCATGTATCTAATCAAGGAGCACCCAGGATAGTTTGCTCAAGGACAAGGGCAAGGACGGATGACCCGTGGTAAGGGTTGAATGAGATTAGTGATGATGCGACCAGTCAAGGGGAAGGACTGGCGCATCTATCTACTCAAGGAGCACCCAGGATAGTTTGCTCTAGGACAAGATCAAGGACGGATGAACCGAGGTAAGGGTTGAATGAGATTAGTGATGATGCGACCAGTCGAGGGGAAGGACTGGCGCATCTATCTAATCAAGGAGCACCCAGGATAGTTTGCTCTAGGACAAGAGCAAGGACGGATGAACCGAGGTAAGTGTTGAATGAGATTAGTGATGATGCGACCAGTCGAGGGGAAGGACTGGCGCATCTATCTAATCAAGGAGCACCCAGGATAGTTTGCTCTAGGACAAGAGCAAGGACGGATGAACCGAGGTAAGGGTTGAATGAGATTAGTGATGATGCGACCAGTCAAGGGGAAGGACTGGCGCATCTATCTAATCAAGGAGCACCCAGGATAGTTTGCTCAAGGACAAGGGCAAGGACGGATGACCCGTGGTAAGGGTTGAATGAGATTAGTGATGATGCGACCAGTCAAGGGGAAGGACTGGCGCATCTATCTAATCAAGGAGCACCCAGGATAGTTTGCTCTAGGACAAAGGCAAGGACGGATGAACCGTGGTAAGGGTTGAATGAGATTAGTGATGATGCGACCAGTCAAGTCAAGGAGAAGGACTGGCGCATCTATCTAATCAAGGAGCACCCAGGATAGTTTTCTCAAGGACCCTTACCTCGGTTCATCCGTCCTTGCTCTGGACGGATGAACCGTGGTAAGGGTTGAATGAGATTAGTGATGATGCGACCAGTCAAGAGGAAGGACTGGCGCATCTATCTAATCAAGGAGTATCCAGGATGGAGGTGCGAGGACGGAATTTCAGTCCGGGATTAATACGGAAAACGGCCTGCTCGACGATAGAGCAGGTACGTTCCAAGGATAAGGAAGAACGACCAAGGAAGGGAGTGCGATCATGGTATCTGACTAGTGAGTCTGGTAGTGAGGATAGAAATGATGGAAGAAAGAAAAAGGGTAAACAGTCAACTCACCATAGATTGAAATCGAAGAGTAAAAGGAAGCGCGATTATTTGACATCTTTGGAGGATGGCGTTTCACAGCTTACTAGGCGTCAGCGGCAAAGGAGTATAAGTAAGGAACCAGGTACTAATATTATATTAGATAAGTTTTTAGATATTTTAAGTAAAGTCACGAGCTTGGATAGGCTTTAACTTGCTTTCAACACTAACGTCATACCGGAATTTGACCCTTTGTCGAAAGAGCAAACTATTTTAACTTGGATAAACAAAGTAGAAGAGTGCGCGGAAATTTATAGCTGGGATGAAAAAGAAATTATCCATTATTCATTACCTAAACTTAGTGGCGTTGCCAAGACCTGGTTTCAAGGTTTGCCTTCACTATTGTATACATGGCCCAAGTGGAAAAAGAAGTTGTTAGAATAATTCCCCTGTCGCGAGGACTATGCCGAGCTTCTGACTAAACTGTTATCTAAGAAATTAAAATACGGCGAGTCACTGGAGCACTACTACTATGCAAAGATCAATTTATTAAATCGTTGTAAAATTTTCGGTAGACAAGCTGTGGATGCCTTCTTTACGGTGTTGAGAATCGTGCTATAAAAGTGGGGGCTCAGGCTGCCCATTTCTCGGAGCCTGAGCAGGTTTTTAAATATTTTAAGACTGTCAAAACAAGCCAAACGCGAGCAAACTTCGACGCACCAATACAAAAATATAGCGATCGTAAGGTTACGCTAGCGTCAAACAGTCCCGGGTCGTCTAAATCTGACTCATTCAATAATAATATCCTAGCTTTAGGTGCGATAAGCCTCTTATAAAGTGCAGTTTGTGAAAGATTATGTCATAAATCTAACGATTGTTTTAGAAACAAACTAGCATCTGAGCCAGGATATAACAGGAACAGTCAAACTTCTAGTAATTCTGAAGATGAGAAACACGTAGCGAAAATAACTTTATGTGATTGCCCCTGTGATAAATATATATAATAAACATAAAAATTAACGGACGTTCAGTAACCTGTCACGTCGACTTGGGACTTGGGACTTGGGTTCGTTAGTTAGGTTCAGTGATGCAGAAAATATGGGACTCTATATTAATTCGCAAAATAAGTTGCCAGTGCTAAAAGGGATAGGGTCTAGCTTAGTAAGACCATTAGGCGCAGTACTAGCCTCCGTAACAGTACAAGGCTTAATGGAGGATATAAAACTTTACGTAGTTGACGATTATGTTCTTAACCACCCAGTTTTGTTGGGGCACACATTTACAGAAAAACCTGATATTATGATTATCAAAACTCCTAGCAAATTAATCTTCCACAAGATAACTCAAAATAAAATTCGTTTATTAACTGAAAGCGTCACCAATATTCCTAGTAACACGTTGCAACCGGTGGAAGTATGTACTAAATCAGATAGTGATTGTGTCATTTGTGTTATCGGATTACTGCATGGTTCAGCTGGGAAAGAGTTTTATATTCTGCCTGGAGAGTCCGGAATCGAGAATGGGCGAGGCGTTCTCCTGTTAAAAATACAAAATCCGTGACAAGTGTTCAAGTTATTAAAAAAATCATATAAGTTAACTTAAAAACTTGTAATTAAATTGCAAGGTCTATATCGCATAGTAAAAGTGCTACCAAATGACGGATTTCTCGTTGAAGATACGCCGCTTACTCGTAAAAACGGTAGAAAATACGAGGCTATAGTTTCAATTAAAAAAAAACCATACGTGGATGAATTTTAACAGATTGAGTCTGATTCAACTGATAATAACACAGTTGACACTGAATAGTTGTAATAAGGTAACCATTAGTTTTATTTACAATATAAAAAAAATAACTGTGCGATTAATACTAAATAGTGATATTATTACTGAAGGTTAAATGTTAATTTTGATTTTATTATTTTGATTAATCTTTTATTTATATTTTGTCATGCTTAGTTTAGTTTGGGATGTGTTAAATGTATAAATATATATGTGTAATTTCTTTACTTATTTAATACTATACTTGCGGCGTTGTTTAAGTGTACAAGCGATGGGACTCGCTTTGAGTAGGATGGCCGAGCTGTTAGGTTACTATTATTTCGTAACTATTATTGTTAGATTAATGTTAGGTTAATAACTATTATATTATTGTTTATAACAGAATTACTCGATTTAGCTTTATATTATAATTACTATTAGTTGTTAATATTAATGATTACGGATATTAGAGTAATATAATTTAACCGGAAGAATAATGTTTTGATTTCTGTAAAAGAGTGGGGCGGAAATGATTCCGCCCCACCTTGCTAACGAGTGCGAAAGGTTGATTATTAAATGGAGAGTGGCATTAGCTCAACTCGAGTCGTCACAGTAAGACGTGAAGTTAAGTTGAATTATGTATAAGTTTAAATTGTGAAGTGAACCAAAGTGGAATAGTTTGAATCTACCGTTTTGTTTTCTACCTGGACTCTAAATAGTATTGTAGAAAGTGAAATAAAGTGTGATAGTTGGAATCAACCCTTTTATTTTCTACCTGATCTTGAAATAGTACAACAGTCGTGAAATGTTTATGTATCTGGTTAAAGGTAATTACTAATTTAAAAATGATTCTCTGTTTCAGCCTCCAGATGGATCAGACGAAAAGTATTTTGCAAATGCTTTTGGAGTAACACCAAAAATACTATCGAAGGTAATGAGTTAAAGTAATACATAAACATAATTTTAAATTTAGGATATCTATAATGTTATGAATGTCAACAATTTACAATACCTATATCCTTCTCATACAGAAGAAATAGGCGTCTATTATTAGAAAGAACGTCGGAATGGTCATAACTAGGCAGTAACATATTATTGTGGTGCATTAAATATATTAACCGTGTAGTGGCGGTGTAAGAATATTCACTACATCATGGTGTGGATGTTGCAAGAGTCGACAAAGATAAAAAAATCAGGAGATGGGCGGCAGTGCCCTCTTAATAACGACTAATCATAAAAACTGCGGCTTGGCACCCCCTTGCCAAGCGTGGTAACTAAGGCAAATACCCCTCTATAAGGCAATCGTGGGGGAGGCCTACGTTTAGCCGTGGACTTTAATACGCTGTAACGGTAACGATAAAACATATTTGTAGTTGTTCTCCCATGTTTAACTGATTTGTTCAATCGTTGAACTAACGGAATTTGTTGTCCACGTAGGTCTATTCGTTATAAATAAATCCCTTTTAAAAAGACGTCCTTAATGATTTTACCATTGACGTCAATAAAGCAATTACAAGATTTGCAAACGACAGTCGTAAAAACTGTTGTGTGAAATATTTTATGGAGGGTTCTCGCTGCGTGTGTTTTCACGCACCGCGCCGCGCCCGCACGCGCCACGCGCAGTGTGAAGGGCGCGGCGCGGCGTGGCGCGGGCAGGCGTATCGAGGGCAGGCGTGGCGCAGCGCGTGCTATCCGTTTAAAATCGGTAATTTCAAAGGCGCGGCATATGCTTACAAGATTGAAATCGTTCATTTCGTCTCTCCTCCGTCCGACGTTGAGATACTCTCATGTCTATATAGATATGGAGTGGTCTAATGCGATGCGAAGACGATTGCTGAATTTTTAATTTTAACGATGTCATCCACCACCAACGCCTTTTCTTCTTTTTTTGTTAATTTTATTAAGTGAATGATATCCACAAAATAAGACAAAAGCGGCTGAAGTAACAGCGATGCCTTCTTCTTCAATGGCATTGCTCCATGGGTGGAGGTAGCAATTCGACTCATGTCGCCTCTACACGTTGGCCAACACAGTGGCGAATGTAGTGGTGATTATATTGGCCGAGAGTTGGTGACGGCGTCCACACGTTGGAAGGTCGTTCAGTTTACTTCGGTTCGGGCCAATGTGCGGACGAATTTATGACGACGGCACCGTGGCGCACTGGCTCAGCAATGAGTGGCTGTGCCGGGGGCCCCGGGTTTGAATCCCGCACGATACAAGTATTTGTATGTCCTACATATAATTGTTTCGGGTCTGGATGTGTGTCCTTGTGCAATTTATGTTTGTAAGCTGCCTCCGCGATACAGGAGAAAATCCAAGTGTGGGGGGGGGATAACGTTTTTATAAAATAATTATAAATTAATAGTGAATATTAACTGGTTATAGGCTGTAAATAGATATACGATATACGATTAGCTTTATATCATAAACTGGAATAATCCTCTATTACGAATCAAAATGCAGATGGGTTGTAACCTCAAAACATGGTGGTCCTTCCCCGGTTGAGCCGACTCATTCGTGCTACAATTATACTTCTAATATAACTGCATGGTTCTATCGCGTATAAACGACGTGCTTCATCTTTTTTTTATTTTAAAATGGTTCTCGTAATAATCTGATTGTAAATAAATGTTAGTTATTTTTTTTGATAAATAGCTTATCGATTAAAACAAATGTTTAAAAATAATTAAATCGCGCTAATTAACGTAGTAGGAATGTTTAAAGTTGAAATTGGCACTAAAAGGCTGGTAATTGGGGCATCCACCCTACAAAGCTTGAATATAAAATTTAAATCAGATGCGTGTAATCACTCTGGGAGCTCGTAGCAAACTAAACGCGCGGCCAACGTGTGGACGCGGCGACCAAACTCTGCCAACAATCCTTTGATCTTTTGTAAAAAACCGACACCACACGGATCTCGCGCCAACTTGTGGGCCATTGTTCCAATACATACCAATGAAACCCAAATACCCCCTCTACACGTTGGCCAATACTATTGGCCACTACATTCGCCACTGTGTTGGCCAACGTGTAGAGGAGCCGTCACACGACATCTGGTGTGCTGCGCTAAACAGACTGACTCAGTGGCTCGGAGTTTGGGCAAGCACGCGCCACGCCGCGCCGGTTAAAACGGGTGGCGCGGGCTCGCGCGTGGCACGTGCTTGCGCGTACAAATCAACACGGGCGGCGCGGTGCGTGATAACACACGCAGTGAGATGCCGCCATTAGAATTGAAGGCATACCGTCTTATCTGAAAACTAAACTGTTACAATAAGTAAAATTAGATAAACTAAAAAGAATAAAATCCACATACTATATACATACACAGCTACTGAAGTCTGTGCTAAGACCTAGTTTATAGACGAATTCAAGATTCAACTTCAAAAGTCAATACAAATGAAAGAACATAAAGTCAAATTGAGAACCTCTTTCTTTTTGTGAAGTTGGTTAAAACGCATGTCTATACGCGGACACAGCTAGTAACAAAAGTTATATAATATTAGCGCCACGCTCCGGCTTCGGCAAAGCGTCCTTAAGATTATTTAAAATGTTCAGGAATGATTATTTATTTTACAAAATTTTTGATTTTAGAAAAAAAAATACTCAGTTTTTTTTTTGGATAAAATAAATATGAGTATTTTAGTTTCATCACAATCGGAACAGCCATTCTGAGGATTAACCTGGACAGACAGACAAGCAGACACAAAATTTTTACAAATGTTCATTCACTTCTAAAATGGCATGCAAGTAACACTATAAGCACAATAAAAGATAGTTACTGCGGTATTATAGACAGACATCTCAGTCTTATTTGACAGACATCTCAGTCTTATTTATATGTATAGATTAAGGATTACAAGAAACTGCCTAAATGAAAAAAAAATTATCACCTCCCCCCCTCCGCCCTGGCTTTGCCTGGCTCTATTATTGTTGCGTTATTTAGATTAAAGAGAATCACAAAAACATGTGACATAAAGATAACTCTATAATATTATATATTATTTATATATATTTTGGATGTTTATCCAAAAATATCTTATTACTTTGCAAAATCGGTAAAATCTTAGGGCAGTGACGTCACAAGCTTAACAACATGTTGACTAGCGTTTTCGCGCGAACATTTAAAACGATAAATTAAAAGTAATTTTTATGGCACTATTCGGTTTCAAAAAATATATATAAAAGTTATAGTCGTTCATTATAACTTCGAATAATTTAAAACATCATTTGAAAAAGGGTGTTACACCCTACTTTAATAGTATGTACTCGTATGTATAGATGAAAAATAATTGTTAAATTGTTTTTAATTTCCAGGCGGGTAAATCACATCAAATTACCTGGACTCAAATTCCAGCCAGCCAGTGGAACGAACATGATCCATCTATGGATGCTGAAGCACCGAGGGTAACTTTAAATTTTTATATTTAAAATAATACTTGCCTATACAAACAAGATTTTAATGCTTTTTGTATAGGATGCACTTACTACAGTAAGTGCAAAAAAAGATGATGCAAACGAGTATGCGGCTCACCTGGTAAGTGACGACCTGCTACTATGAAAAACTGCAACACAAGTGAAATTGCAGGTGCAGTGCCGGCCCTGCAACAAGTGGTAAAACTTAAAATTTTGTACAACGGACTTCAATAAAAATAAAATTAGAACATCATTAATGTATTCGAAGTTAATTAAATATGCATTATTAAGGATAACTCAAAAACTACTGGTCAGATCTTGATCAAATTTATATGGGACTACATGAAAAGCACCAGAATTCAATTAAAAAACAGAATCACATAGAAAACTGTTCTTAGGTAACACATAAAAAGTACAGTCGAATTGAGTTCTTCCTTTTTTGAAGTCAGTTAAAAAAGAGTTTGTTCTTATTTTTATTGTTACGGGAAAATCGCCTCTCCAAGTCGATTTTATGGAGAAGTCGTGCGAGAAAGAAAATTACTAATAAATCGTACGGTGGTGGATCAATGAGCATTTAGATGGTTTGAATGACAATATAAATTTTTTCGCGATGTGTGTTGGTGAAATTTGACGACTGAAATTAATCTGAACAATTCCTCGGAGAACTCGTGATAAAAAGCTGCAAAGACGAAAGATCTCCTCGCAGCGCCAGTGAATCGAAACCGATCAGAAAAAACTCTGCCATCGATGATTCGGGCCGCCCTTCGCTGGATTCGGTTAATTGGAAGGAGCTGGCACTGGGCTGTCCCTGGCCTAGAGATAAGAAAAGTATTCGATGTGAGGGTGAACCTGCCGTTTAAAGTTGCAAGCGGTATGTCGGCATGAAATACTGTCTCGCTCTACTGAACACGCCAGGCTGTTAAAAAAACAAATTCAATATTCCCTGAAATTAGGGAGATACGACAAAAGGGTTCATTTTAGGGTTAAATTGAACTAGATTTAGCCGTTCCCAATCTGAGACTTGTTTAAGAAACACTCGACTGCAGACACAAGTTCTAATAATAGCACAGCCGATGTGAAAAGCATCACCAGTGCTGTTGTCCGCATATAAATGAGTGTTATTGGTTTGCAACATAATATCATTTATAAGGAGATGAAACAGCATAAGTAAACCATGATTAGTAGGCTTGTAGTCGGAGCATGTGTTATCTACTATGACCTTGATGTTTTAATCTGCAAGAATATTGGTGATCTAATTGCTTCCCTCTTGGGTTCTACCGTTTCCAACCATCTTCGTGTCAGATTAGACAGTGGTAGAGCCACGCGGCAACTTTTGCTGTCGCATGGATGGGCTGGCTCAAACCAGAGTAGTACCACGACATCACAAAACACCAGCGTGAAGTAGGGAGTTACCTCTGCGTTTCGCTTCGGGAGTGCAGGGGTCCGAAGGCCCAATCCCATCAAATTAAGAATTAAGTGAAGATTTACCCCAGGAGGACACCAGCAGCCCTGGTGACGGAGAATCCCTCGCTGAGCATCCACCACCAAGTTATCCTACTCTTCCTGAGCATGAGTGCTCAGGCTGCCCCGTGTATTCTGGGTGAGGCGCAATTTTGCTCGCGACAAAAGCTGCTTGGGAAAAGCGGAGCAACAACACCAAGGTGACCCCTGCCATGCTATCCATGAATTTTCGCAACATCAGGGGACTTCATTCCAACCTTAACGCTGTCCACTACCATCTGGAGACAGCGAAGCCAGCTTTGCTCTTTTTAACCAAGCCTTAGGTCTCCTCTCCAGCTGATACTTCATATCTCTCCTACCCGGGGTACAAATTAGAACACTCCTTTGTGCCTCGGGCTGGAGTTTGCGTATACGTCAGAGAGGACATCTGTTTTCGATGCCTCGCCAGTCTTGAAGGTACGGACCTGCCCATCCAATGGCTGCGCGTAGTCAGCGACGGCCATCCCCGCGTCTACGTGAGCCTCTATAGGTCCCATAGCGGTAATACCGAAACTGACCGACTCCTCGACCACGTCCAAATGGCTCAAATTCCGTGCTATAGCAGATCCCATCCGCAGAGATTTTGATCCTTGGCGATTTTAACGCCCACCACGTCGAATGGCTCGGTTCACGTTTAACCAAACATGCGGGGCGTTCTGTTTATGACTTTGCTTTGGCATATGGTCTAACACAACTGGTTACTGCGCCTACGCGGATTCCAGATTTGGAAGATCATTCACCTTCCCTGTTGGATCTTCTGCTGACCGTTTTTTCAGAAAACAGTTTTCTCATCCGGACGGGATATCAGGTTTCCGTCGACGCTCCTTTAGACTCGTTGGATCATTGTCTTGTCCGGAGTATGGTACCAGTCACATTAACGTTGCATTCTGCAAGCTGCCGCCGTGTTTGGCACTACAGATCTGCCGATTGGAATAGGGTGCGGTTCCATTTTGCAATCCTATCCGATCCTAACGTTCTTGCTGATTCTGTCGCTGATGTGGTACTTCAGGGTATGGAACTTTTTATTCCGTCCTCTGTGATGCCCATCGGAGGCAGATACCAGCCATGGTTTGGTCGCTCCTGTAAAATGACATCACGCTATAAGCAGGAGTGCAACCGGGCCTGGGCTGACGCATCAATGTCTCGGGATGTAAACACCACCGCTCTTAAAAAGAAGTATAATTCCGCCTCCAGGTCCTTCAAAAGAGTTATTGCCAAGGCAAGGTCTGGGCACATCGGCAGAATTGGCGAGAAACTAGTTCGCCTTCCTTCTGGAACTCGTGCATTCTGGTCTCTCGCCAAGGTTGTCCAAGGGAAATTCTGTCAGTCATCTCTTCCATCTCTGCACAGAGAGGACGACTCTCTGGCCCATGTCGCAAAGGAAAAAGTCGATCTGTTAGGCTCTCTCTTTGCGTCCAACTCGACTCTCGATTACGGGGGAACACTCCACCGACCATCCCGGTGTGTGTGCTCTATGTCGAATGTGCGGTTTACACAGAGCTTGGTTCGCCAAGCACTCTTCTCTCTGGACGTCAGCAAGTCGAGTGGGCCTGATGGAGTACCTCCTATTGTGAAGCTGAAGACGTGTGCTCCAAAGTTGACACTGGTTTTAACGCGTCTTTTCCGGTACCCCTATACCCAAGGCGTAGTCCCGAATTCTCGGAAGACAGCTTTGGTCCACCCGATCCCTAAAACAGGCGACCGCTCAGACTCGTCCAACTACAGGCCTATCGCCATCACCTCCTTGTTCTCCGAAATAATGGAGTCTATTGTAAACTGTAGTTTACAATAGACTCCATTATTACCTACCTTGTGGATTACCTTGAGGATCACCAGCTGATCAGTGACCGCCATTACGGTTTCCGTCGTTTTCGATCAGCTGGTAAACTTCTGGTCTACCTTACTCATAGATGGGCGGAGACAGTAGAGTCTAAGGGGGAGGCATCGGATGCTAGTTTGGACATAGCAAAGGCCTTCGATCGGGTCTGGCACAAAGCGCTTCTTTCGAATGGCTTCCCGAGAAATTGTGCGATTGGATCACTCGTTTTCTCGCCAATCAGAGAATCATGGTCGTAGTAGACGGTGCATGCTCTGATTATAAATCTATTAACGCTGGTGTTCCACAAGGCTGCGTGCTATCACCAACGCTGTTTCTTCTGCATATCAATAATGTGTTGCAAACTGATAACATTAAATGCCATGCAGACGGCAGCACTGGTGATACCTTATACACCGGCCATGCCATCACCATGCTTTGTCGTATCTCCTCATTTTGAAGGAACTCCCCTTGCTGCCTCAGCGAGCATCAGAATCCTCGGCGTCGACATATCGAATAGTGTGCAGTTTCAAAAAACTTGGCGTGCTCATCAGAACGAAGAAGAAAGCGCAAGTTCGGCCGCACATGGAATACTGTTCTCATCTCTGGGCCGAGGCACCTCAGTGCCAGCTCATTCCACTTGACCGCACCCAGCGTGGAGCGATTGGAATCATCGACGGCCGAGTTCTTTGTGATCGGTTCGATTCACTAGCGCTGCGTAGGTATGTTGCATCCCTTTGCGTTTTCTATCGTATCTACCATGGGGAGTGTTCTGAGGAATTGTTCGGATTAGTTCCAGCCGCCAAATTTCATGAACGCACATCGCGTCTAAATTCCCGATACCATCAGGCTGCTTGGCGGTCCACTACTGTTCGTATTACTTGGAGTTTTCTTCCTCGTAGAACTTCTCTGTGGAATAGTTTACCACCGACGACTATACCTTTATAAAAGGCCGGCAACGCATCCGCAATTCCCCTGGTGTTGCGGTTGTTCGTGGGCGGCGGTAGTCACTTACCATCAGGTAAGCCGCATACTCGTTTGCCTCTGTTCTATAAAAAAAAGATAAACTAGAAGCTCACAAGCTGAGCGACCCTGGCGGAAACTGTTGCTGTCAGTCACTAATAAGTGAGATAGGAAGCTTATAAGCCTTATGAGGTCAAAAAAAAGTTCGACGGCTCTGAGCGGCCTTTTTTAAAGGATCGGTTATACTAAAGTTGTCGTTCATGAGTCCAAGACTACGCCTTGAGTCTAGGAGTACCGGTAATGACGCGTTACATTCGGCCCTCTTCAACTATTGGTAAGTAATGTCGCTTACATACATTCTATAAGACAACTTACAAATATTCTGTTGAAAACTAATATCTCTGCTATAAACAATGATATATTATTTTTTATAAAACTTAAATGACAAACGAACATACAGTCCACGTATAGGTAATTAGGTAACCATTTCAAAAACTAGTTTTAAAATTTTTGTGACACGTGTATGTTAAAAAATATTTGCATAACTGTAGTAAGTTCAATAGTCTTATTTCTGTATACGTAGAATTTATTTTCATGAAAACCACTGTCATGTTCATTTCCAAATTATGCCGTCTTTTTAGATGATTTGAAGAAAAGTTTTTTTTATTAAATAACTATTAGACATTTAAAAATTCAGCTATAACTATGTAAGTGTCCACGCAAACACTGACATTACTTCAGTGTCTTCGATTATTGCAATGACTAAATAATAAATTTGAGACTGCAACAAATAAATTTGAGACTGTCGAGCTTGACTTGGGATTTGGGCAACGTGGTCGTCATTAAATATTTTATTGCAGGAACCAAACATCTATCACCAGAACGAATTCCAAACAGATGGGGAGAAAAAGGAAGAGAAACCTTCAAATCTTCAAGCGTTAGTTGATGCAATCGGAAGCAGGATGCGTGACATTGAGAATGTGGTACAGAAGATGAGCAAGAAAGTCAAACACGCAAAGCCCGATCAATCGGAGTTTGGTAGCAGCGCAGCCAGTATAGAAAAAAGGTTGTCATTCAAATAATATTTTTTTTATTTATATTTTATATTGACCTGAAGAAGTTTCGTGTTGATTTACCACGATTTTTGTGCTCGGTGGTGGATGAAAACATCGTGAGAAAACCTGCATGTCTGTATGAATACAAAAATATATCGAAGACATGTACAGTTCGCCAACACGCATTGGGGCAGCGCGGCAGACGTCTATTTGCCCCAAAAGCCTCTCAGAAAAGAGAAGAGACTTCTGCCCAGCTGTGGGCAGTATATATAGACTGTAACTTGAACTACCTTTAACTTAATCATTATTATCAACATTACAACCTTCCATTTCTCTACGGCCGAACATACGCCTACCTAAAGGAAGCTTGCAGGTCCATACCGCAGCTATATTTTGATTATAGCACGAATGGATCAGCTCAATCGAGAAAGGACTATGCTACACAGAATACCAGCGTAAAATAGTAAATAGCTTAACAGGAAATTAGTGAGTTCAAATTGTGATTTAGCCCCCACACCCCGCATCCTCGCGAGATTTCGTTAAGGGGCGCGCGAGTTTTCTTAAAAATTGTGCTTTATTATTTTACTAAAATTTAGGGAACCAAAAGAAAATAAATGAATAAGAAAGTATTCACTTAGATACCGTAAGCATATTTTTTTGCCAACCCTATTTTTTCTTTTGTAAATTTAATTTATTTCCCATTATTATAAATCACTAAAATATACTCGAACGAGAGCACGCGCCAGCAAGCGACGCAGGTTTCCCCTCCGAAGGCCGAAGCTGGACTAGCTTGGTCTGTGTTCGGGGAGAGGAGTAGGACCGCGGCTCAGGATATGGGGACCAGGCGAGAGTACATTTTAGATATTTCTTGTTTATTTCAAACCTTCAATCAACAATACCAACTAGATGTGTCGGCACAAGAAATCCGTCTCAGTAAATAAGAGTGCACATGAAACAGGAGCTCTTATTTCGTTTAGTTCATTTGAAACACAGCCAATGTAAACACGTTTCACAATGCCTCAATGTGTATTTAAGAGTTGCAAGAATAATGCCCGAAAAAGTAATTTAGCGGCCAGTGTGTCTTACTTTTGGTAATGACATGTATAATATGTTATATTTTAAGCTCTAAATTAAAAAACAATATCATATTTGAAACAAAATTACCGATCATAACCACCCCTACAAATGTTTTGCCAATGTTGATCAATACACGCGTAAACATTTGTGAAACAGAACATAGAGGCATAAAGTAGATTTGTATTGTAATAATTTTTAATAATTCGTTACCAAAACTTTAAATAATGGTAATTGCTACTGTTACGCGCTCAACGTCATACACTAGCGCCATCTAGTGTCAGGAACGAGAGCGAGGGAAGCTTTGCAGAAAATGACATCACAAATCATTCAACCGACAGCGCCATCCGAAGAACTAAGTTTCTAGAAAATCTACACTCGAACACTCGTCGCCTTGCGCGCATTTACTTGAATATTCCGGATGCTTCATTGCTAATTTGTATATATAGGCGCTGCAAGATGCGATCGAGGCAGTATTGGATTTGGCGAGACAAGCGAAGCTTCGGAGCGGAATAAAGTGAATTAGTGTGTTTAATTATTAGTGTTTTAAGTTTTAATTTGTGTAAAGTAAATTAAAGTGTTAATTTAGGTAATTTTATCGGCAATTTTTATTGTCACGAACCTCAAGCTCGTAACAATTGGTGTCAGAAATGGGATAAAATAATGCCGATTTTACCTAAGGAGGAAACGGAGGGTGACCCGAAGTCAACGCCAGCAGGAGACGGACTAACGAAGATTTGGTGGTGCAACGCCGCAGATGTCGGAGGGCCAGCCATCGGCTGCAGGCCCGTCGGTGGCTCCTATATCTGCAGCACCTGACTTAGGTGCTCTGATGGTGATGCTGCAGGAGCAGGCTCGCCGACAGGAGGAACAGGTCCGTCAATTGAAAGAGCAGCTGCAGAGCGGACAAGAAGAACAGGCCCGCCGACAGGAGGAACAGATGCTCTTCATGAAGGACCTTCACGCTACCTTTGCGAAAGAGATAAGGGAGGAAGGACAGGGTTGCTCAACATGACAACCGCCTGTTGGAAGCTGAAACCCGAATCGAAGAACATGAAACCCGAATCAACCATGTGAACAATCGGGTTGACAACGTGATGGCTGACGTGAAGAAAACGCTGAACGACCTCAAACTTGGGGATGGAACTACAGCTCCAGTAGTAGCTACAGCACCTTCGCTACGTGGATTCAAAGTGCCGCCGTTCGACGGGACTTCTTCCTGGTCGGCCTACAAAATCCAGTTCGAGGCTGTCATGGAGGCAAACGGCTGGAATAAAAGCCAGGCCATGACTGCACTCACCTTACGCCTGCGCGACCAAGCCTTAACCGTGTTGGAAGCTCTCGGTAAGAAAGTGACCTACGAGCAGCTCCTTGAGGCATTGGAGGCGAGATATGGTGACGCTCACCTGGAACACGTCACGCAACGCAGCAACGAAAACCTGCAGCAGTGGGCCTTTGAGGTGGAGAAGATGGTTCGAAAAGCATACCAGTCTGTACCTGCGCTCATTGAAGGGAATCTGATGCAGACATTCATCGACGGCATCCGCGAATTGGAAGTCAGAGCTGCTATGAGGCTCGGGCACCACGAGACGCTTAAGGACGTCTTGGCCCATGCACTGGAGGTAGAAGCCGTGCGGCAGGATCATCGTTCCCATCGCGTCAGGGAGGTTGCAACAGCTACGGTTCGCGACCGCAACAAAGGATACAGCCCTAGGTACTATGGCTGTGGGGAAAAGGGCCATCTTCGATCCAGCTGCCCTAATCGAAGCGCAGAAAGGGAAAGTGAACGATATCAGGAGGGTAGTGCAGCTAACGGCACTGCCTGGCGGCGACAGGATCGTCGTTCACCTCACGCTAGGGAGGTTGCAGCAGTTACGGTTCGCGACCACAATAAAGGATACAGCCCTAGGTGCTATGGCCGTGGGGAAAGGGGCCATCTTCGGTCCAGCTGCCCTAAGCACACCCTAGGAAGGGAAGGTGAACGGTCTCAGAAAGAAAGTGCGGCTAACAGCACCACCCAGCAGTAGCAGGAATACGACCTTACTATCAGACACTGCAGCGGGAAATCTCACGGCAACGCAGATGCATTGTCAAGAAGACGTTGTCCTGAAGATTGCAACCATTGTAGTTGGCAAGAGAGTAAGGAAGTGGTATCCGTGAGGATGCTCAGGACAGACCACCTCAGCAACGGGTGGAAGGACAGCCTACGACATGCACAGCAGGAAGATCCGGACATCAAGCCGATTCTGGGATGGATGAAGGCCCGTGCTACCAAGCCTAAGTGGAGCGACGTCTCAGCGATGAGTTCAACCACGAAAAGCTATTGGGCCCAATGGGACAGCTTGCTGCTTCAGGATGGAGTCCTGTGCCGTAAATGGGACAATGGTCGAGGAGACAGCTGTCGTTTGCAAATGGTTGTCCCTAAAGCTAAAGTGCCGAATGTTCTACAGCTGTGCCATAGTGGTCGTTCAAGAGTCCATCTGGGAGTTAAACGAACTCTACTGAAGGTCCGAGAACAGTTTTACTGGGTCCATTGTCGTGACGATGTCGAGGATTGGTGTCGTACATGTACAAGTTGTGCGGCCGTGAAGGGACCTCAGACACGTAGTAGAGGAGCATCGAAATTGTGCAATGTTGGTGCACCATGGGATAGGCCAGCCCTAGACATTGCGGAGCCGTTACAGAAAGGCGCAAGAGGGACTCCTAAGATCGCCCATGTGGATCGCCTGGCTCGTTATTATGGGGCCGATAATGCTCGGGACGAGCATGTATTAGGAGGGGACAGTGTTACGCGCTCCACGTCATACACTAGCGCCATCTAGTGTCAGGAACGAGAGCGAGGGGAGCTTTGCAGAAAATGACATCACAAATCTTTCAACCGACAGCGCTATCCGAAGAACTAAGTTTCTAGAAAATCTACACTCGAACACTCGTCGCCTTGCGCGCATTTACTTGAATATTCCGGATGCTTCATTGCTAATTTGTATATATAGGCGCTGCAAGATGCGATCGAGGCAGTATTGGATTTGGCGAGACAAGCGAAGCTTCGGAGCGGAATAAAGTGAATTAGTGTCTTTAATTATTAGTGTTTTAAGTTTTAATTTGTGTAAAGTAAATTAAAGTGTTAATTTAGGTAATTTTATCGGCAATTTTTATTGTCACGAACCTCAAGCTCGTAACACTACTTTTGTCTTTCTTTGTGAAATTCCAATAGATACTTAGCTTTTTTTATTTTAGCTTTCCTATCTTTCTTCCCCGGTTGAGCCGACCCATTCACGCTACAAGTAACTATACTACTAATATAATTGCAGCATGGCTCTACCACGTTTAAAAAGTATGCAATGGACGGTCTTGTTGCTGACAGCAATTTCTTCCAAATAACCAATGAATGGACAGGATTACATGAAGATGACAGGAGTAGGGCAAATTGGTGTGATAATATACATAGATACATGCATACTACAAATATATATACATACAAAAACTAAAATAGATATATATTGAATTAGTTAATTAAATGAAATCAATATACTACATACTATATTATATTTAATGGCTAGTGTGGAAAGTATGTTTACCAACAATCATAAATGCCCAAAAACATAAAAATAATTATAATTAAACTTTTAAAAATTTTAGTATCAACTATTGTAAATTATTTTAGTGTTCAACGCGACTCAATACTTCCTGGATCAAATTCGAAGAAGAAAATAGAAACATAACAAAATGACGTAGCTCGCAAGGCGACAATGGGAAAAAGAACTTTATCTTTTATAATTTAGGGTTGATTTCACACTAAATGTTATTTAATTCATGTCTTTTCATTTCCAAGTGATAGGAGTATTGTATAGCTTTGTTCTTTTATGTGAATAATGATCGTAAGATTTGTGACTTTATTACTAGATGCGATGGTTGTAATTAGGTTGAACTTAGGACTATTTTAATTTTTTGTCTCATTTCTTTAGAAAACAAATGTAACTGTTTAAGTTTATATTCACGCGGACAGTATTTAACTATGATTTCGTACGTGACCCGTTATCTAGTTGGTATTGTTGATCGAAGTTTCAAACTAAAGGTTAATTTTGGAAAATTTAAAACGCATTTTGCATAAGTATCTTTAGTTTCACTATTACTGAAAATCTGGTAACCTCAAATGAATAATTAAAAGATTACCAGTGTATTTTTCTGAAAATACGGAGGTAACTATGGAATTTTTTTATATCGAAGAAATTTCAAGGAATCGTGTTTCTGAAAAATATTTTTCATCGGGTAAATCCTTAACGTTCTTGAATATGAATCACGAAACGAATGATTAAACACTAACTAAACTAAACTTACTAAAACAGTTATTTAACTGCTGTTACCTCTTAATGCTGCTGTGTTTCGCATGGTGATTATAGATTCTCGAGAGCCTTTATACTGGTAACGAGGCTTTCCTGCTTACTCCTCAAGGGTGACAACGCATATGCATTTTCTTCTTAATGAAGATGTAGATGTCTATGGGCCACAGTAACCGCTTGCCATCAGGTGGACTGTGTGGTCATTTGTCACCCTTATGCCTAAATACTCAAATGCTACTCAATTTTAAGATGCCGTCTAGTTTAACGAAATAATAATTAGAATAATGGTCAAATGCTTGACCATTTTTCTAAAAATATATTTTAATTAATATTTAAATATATTCAAGCACAATATACAAATTACTTAATTAAAATAAAAGTATGATAATTAATTTGCTAAAATCCGCGTGCAAAAACAGTTATGTCATGGGAGGGCTCTTCAAGCTAAGTTACAATATAGCTATGTTGTAAACCTAGCTTGAGGAGCACAATTCTTCCAAGATTACCATCAGTGGAACTTCATTTTTTTGAAAAAGTTGTAGAATCAAAAGATACGTTTGACAAACAAAACTTTTAATTTGTAACGTACGACATAAGTAGTACCCACCTAAATACCACTAAACCCATCACCACTACACACGAGCACGCGGACCGTCGCAAGTCAATTTTCAGATTTTAAATTTTTTTTATAGAAGAGGAGGCAAACGAGCATGCGGCTCACCTGATGGTAATTGACTACCGCCGCCCATTAACAACCGCAACACCAGGGGAATTGGAAGTTACGTTGCCGGCTTTTAAAATGGGGTAAGCTCTTTTCTTGAAAGTCCCTAAGTCGTATTGGTCCGGAAAAATCGCGGGTGGTAAACAATTCCACAGAGAAGTTGTACTAGGAAGAAAACTCCTAGTAAAACGCACAGTGGTAGACCGCCAAGCATCCAGATGGTGAGAATGATATCTTGAATTTTGACGCGACGTGCCTTCATGAAATTTGGCAGCTGGGATTAATCCGGAAAATTCCTCAGAGCTCTCCCCGTGGTAGATGCGATAGAAAACGCAAAGGGATGCAACATCCCTACGCAGCGCCAGTGAATCGAGCCGATCAAAAAGAACTCGGTCGTCGACGATTCGAACCGCTCTTCGCTAGATGCGGTCAAATGGAAGGAGCCGGCACTGGGTTGCTCCGGCCCAGAGACGAGAACAGTATTCAATGTGAACCCGAACTTGCGCTTTGTAAAGTTGCAAGCGAAGTATCTGCATAAGATACTGTCTCGTTCTGCCGAGCACGCCAATATTTTCAGAGGCCAATTTGGCCTTCCCCTGCAAGTGATTTCGAAGCTGCACACTATTCAATATGGCGACGTCGAGGATTCAGATCACCAGCTGATCGACCTTGACGAAAACTGTATTGGCGGGTCACAATTCAGCTGGTAAGCCTCAAGGTACCTCATGAGCTGGCAGTTTATAATTTTGGAGAATAATATGAGCGCATTATTTTGGAGAACAATGAGGGACATTATTTTGGAGAACAATGAGGGACATTATTTTGGAGAACAATGAGGTGATAGCGATAGCCCTGTGATTGGACGGGTATGAGCGGTCGCCTTTTTTAGGGGTCGGGTGGACCAAAGCTGTCTTCCATGAATTCATGACTGCCAACTTCGGAGCACACATCTTCGGCACAATGGGAGGGACTCCATCAGGCCCACTCCACTTGCTGACGTCCAGAGAGAGGAGTGCTTTGCGAACCGAGCGCTGTGTGAACCTTACATCTGGTATGGAGCACTCACACCGCGGGATAGTCGGCAGTGTGTTCCCCCCGTAATGGAGAGTCGAGTTGGATGCAAAGAGAGAGCCTAACAGATCTGCTTTCTCCTCTGTGATATGGGTCAGGGCGTCGTCCTCTGTGTGCAGAGAGAGAGAGTAGAGATGACTGACGGAAGTTCCCTTGGACAGCCTTGGCGAGTGACTAGAATGCACGGGTTCCTTAAGGAAGGTGAACAAAAATGTGCTCAGACCTTGCCTTGGCAATGACTTTTTTGAAGGACCTCGAGGCGGAATTATACCTCTTTTAAGTAGCGCTGGTGTTTAAATCCCGATAAATTGATACGTCAGCCCAGGCCCGGTAACACTACTGCTTTTAGCGTGATGCTATTTTACAGGAGCGACCAAACCATGGCTGGGAACTGCCTCCGATGGACGCCACAGAGGATGGAATAAAAAGTTTCACACCCTGAAATACCACATCAGCGACAGAATCAGCAACAATGCTGTGATTGTCCGGCGAGAAGCGAGCCCGCCCCCAAGGGTAGGATGGAAAAAAAGACCGCATCCTATCCCAGTCGGCCGACCTATAGTGCCAAACACGGCGGAAGCCTGCAGAATGCAACCGCGATATTAATGTGACTGGCACCACACTCCGGACAAGACAACAGTCCGACGAGTCCATTGGGGCGTCGACGGAAACCTGATATCCATCCGGATTAGAAATCAGCAGAAGGTCCAACAGGGGAGGTGAATGATCTTCTACATCTGGAATCCGCATAGGCGAAGTAACCAGTTGTGTCAGGCCATATGCCAAGGTAAAGTCATAAACAGATCTATCCGCATGATCGGTTAAACGTGAACCAAGCCATTCGGCGCGGTAGGCGTTAAAATCACCAAGTGTTACGATCTCTGCGGCTGGGATCTGCTGTAGCACGGAATCTGTAGCCATTTGGACGTGGTCGATGAGTCGGTCCTATAGAGGCAAACGTAGATGCTGGGATGGTCGCAGACCTTCGAGATATGAAGTATGAGCTGGAGAGGACCCTTGAGTCTCGATTTAAAAGAGTTAGGCTGGCTTCGCCGTCTCCATATAGTAGTGGACAGCGTTAAGTTTGCAATGAAGTCCCCTGATGTTGCAAAATTCACGGATAGAATGACAGGGGTCGCCTTGGTGTTGTTTTTGGCCGTTTTTAATCGCGAGCGGAATTGCGCCCCCCCACCCCCAGAATACGTGGAGCAGCCTGAGCCCCAACACTCAGGAAGAGTAGGATAACTTGGTCGTGGATGCTCAGAAAGGGATTCTCCGTCACCAGGGGTGCTGATACCCTCCTGCGGTAGTTTTTTAATTGATTCCGCTACCATGTTAAGGAGAAGGGAGGGAATCGGGCCTCGGGCCACCTGCACTTACCAAATGCAGAGGTTAGGAGAGAGAGAATCTCTACTTCACGCTGGTTTTCTATGAGGTCGTGGTACCATCCCGGTTCAAGCCGGCCCATTCGTGCGACAGCAAAGGCTGCCAAGTGGCTCGACCACTTTTATATTTTAACTGGCAATGCTAATAAATTCTTAGTGGGATACAAATTCGGTAGGTACTGAAATAAATTTATTAAAAAAAATACTTGCATGAAGCATTTCCGGCATCGTGCAATCGCTATTCAATGGCACGCATAGTACTACTATTCTAAAATCCTATTTCAGATCTGACGGTGAACGGCGATCACATAATCATTTAATCATAGAACCCAAAGAGCGTGAAAATGAAATAATCGTTTCTAAGCCAAAATATTCCAGTCCAGACGATGAAAATCACAAACGGTAAGCTATAAACTTTAAAGTAGCAGGTATATTGATGGCAGTCACATCTTATGGACCGAATTTTAGTCACGGCGACCAGTCTCTATGGAGACTAGCCATCTGCGCAGGACAGTGTTTATGCCCTACTTGGGCAACGCGCAATTATGTGCAAGTACAAGTGCACTCTCTATTCACTCACTCTCATAGTTATATTGGACGGTAATTCGACGTGAATAGAGAGAAATCAGGTGCAGGACTAACGGCTCTACGTGCTTTCCGAGGCACGGGGGTGAAATACTTCCAACTTCTTGACTCCGGGCTGCTACTGAGAATTCCTTGACAGAAAAAGTCAGTAACTGATTTTGACCAGATCACGACCACTAGAGCACTAGACCTTACATTAGTAATTACATTAGGCACAGAACATTAGTTACTTGATTTACATTTTAAAACCCAGCTCAGAAGACTCATGAAGATTTTGGATGATGTACCAACAGTAGTTAAATTGGTTTATGTAGATATTGTTATTATAGAGGCGACCAAACTATCTGATTTTTTACTATGGTAAAAGGTGTTCGGTGAAAAAATTATTGGTTATTAAAATTTACTGTCTTAATAACCACTAATGTTTTGACAGTGCTGTTTGCTAGCGAGTAACGAGTAGTTAGGCTTGAAGCAGTTGCTTTAGTCGTTTTAGAGAAAGTGTACTGATCTGATCTGAATAGGTACATAACTAAATACATCAGAATAATAAACATACTTACACGATAGATAATTTAAGTAAATTTCGAACCAGCAATTTGGTTTATTTAACCTGTGAATTCGAATTAAAGTGGCTAGGTGGAGGCTAGCACAGTGACAAAATAGTAGGTTAAGTAGATAAGTTAGGTATTTAGACAAATGTTGTAAGTTATTAGGTATTGGTACAATCGCGGGCGGCACATGAGTAGATGATTCCATTTATCCACTCATGTGGTTGCGGGTCGAGCGGATTCGGCGTCGCGCGTACAATGACCCTTGTCAGCTAGATTTTAGATATTTAAGTTTCACTGCTGGTTTTATGTTTAGATATTATTATTTTTTTATGAAATTATCGATTCATTTAGCTGTACTAACATGATAGAGCGTGAATAAAGATAATTAAACGTTGTAAAAAGATATTTTTTTCATCGGGATCGATTTTGTATTTGTCCCATCATCAAAGGTATCTTTAGTAGTTAGTCTTCGTTTTAAGGAGCGATTCACAAACACCCGTATACCGGTGATGTGTAATGTTAATGGACGAATACTGGTACATCACGGTTCTCGTGGTTGACATCCTGGAAGTAAATTCAAACTGGTTTTAACAAAACTAATCAGCTTTTATTGTTATAGAATAGGTTATTTTTATTTAAAATTCATATTGAAATAATAATAAAAGTCTATGAGTCGAGATATGAGGCAATCTTTGGCAACTGCATAAGGTTTTATTGGTACGATATGTGCTTTAATTAATCGACAATCTAAGCAAACTACTGAAAGACTGCAAGACTCTGTAAGCTCGTTCGGCGCGGATTGGACCAAAAATAATTAAAATTTGAAGGTAGCCTTTGTTAGTTTTGACATTGGGACGTGAAATATCTCAGAATCCCCCGTGACCACGTGTGCTGGAAAGTGCTCGAAACGTCGCAAATTGAAAAACTTAAATTTGAACGCATTAAAATCCGCAAAATTAGTTTTATTCAATATGTAGTATTTACGTAAATCTAAGAAATTATTATGTAACATTACTTTTCTCGTCGGAAATTATTTGTAACGTGGTATTGAACAGGTCTTGTACATTTTTTCTTCATCATTAGCCCGTAAAATCAACTGATCGACGATTAAGATTTGCCTTAATCGTCATGCTTTGCAGGCGAATTGGCAATCCCAATAACAGACGTATTTCATCTTTGGCTTTCGTCACCGGTCTGACAAAGAGTAAATAATATAAGTAATTTTTTAAAGTACCCAGACCGTAAACGTAGTGATTTATATACTTTTCGGTACTTAACGTCTATCTTTAACGAGATGGTTATATCGCCATCTGTCGAAATCTGTGAGATCTTTCTAGAATTTCACGACACCATCGCGACGCAATTGACACCACATGGCATATATTTGCCTACTGACAATTTTTGTATATAATATAACAGAGGCAGTAAGCGTCAACGCGCCACAACAGAAGCCACCAGTGAGCAACCCCTTTTTGTAGACGACTCTAACATAAATGGATACTTCAGCGACGTCAGTAACAGTGTTCTTAGAAGGGCCGATGAACCGAAAGTAAGTTATAAGGTATATATCAGTTAGGTATGTAAGTCACATAAATACAGTAACATTAAACTATCCTCATAGGTAAATAAAATATTTCTTAGTGCTACCTACATAAATACCGATACAATCTCTAAAGACATAGTTCCTATACTAAGGCCAACCAGCAGCAATACGAAAGGTTATTTACCTTAAAAATGACTGTGGAGTTGACAATCTATTATCTATCTCTTTCCATTTTGTGTATTTGTCGTAATGTCTCGTTTCGCCGGCAAAAACATGTCAGGGTCAAGACGGGTTCGCCTACATTCGGAACGCCCTCGTGATGTTACAAGTTATTTGTTAAAATTTTTGTTATTTTTTGTTGTTTATTTAATTGTTGTTATTTCGTTTTGTTGTTTTTTTTTTATTAAGAGTGGTTAATGATGGAGCCACAACCAAGTACGTCGAAAGATAAATCAACAGATTTTACTTCCCCCGAAAAAGAATCGAAAAATGAATGTTGTTCAGTAGTTTAATTTAAAACTTCTTGGTTCGGAGTGTACTTTAAAGTTGTCTTAAAGTTATTTAAAAAACAGCAACTGTAATAATAAAACTTTTCTTAATTTATTAAAGATGCAAGTAAGTAAAGTATGTATATCATTTCAATTTAATTTTTTAATTTTAGATGACTAGTTTTACTGTGAATTAAAAAATATGGTTATTAATACCTACAAATATGTTAAAGAAACTTGGACTAATGATAAATACCCATACAGAAAAGAGATGGCGCAGAAAGCAGCTAGTATTTTAGGTTTCGGCTTTACATCTATATATAGAACCCTCTAGGACTATAAAGAACACGTCGAAATTTCTTCTCTTGTCACCACCAAACCTAGACCAACGTTTAGTGACAATTATACGTGTTACAGACTCTGATTCTGACTCTACAGACTCAGAAGAATCGGCATCTGACTCAATAAACAATGATTTCCTCAAAAAAAATTATCCTCGTTTCCATAAACATAAAATAACAAATCATTAGTCCATCCAGGGGTAGGCAGAGATATTAATACCCACATTTTGCCTGATATATTTAAGTCCCTATGTAACAGGGGGCAAGCCTGTTACCATACACCGGGCACACAGTTGTTAGGCAAGTGATATTCAAAAACATCATTATTATTCTCGATATTTAATTTAAATCTACATTTTTTTTATAGGAGGAGGGCAAACGAGCATACGGCTCACCTGATGGTAAGTGATTACCGCCGCCCGTGAACAACTGCAACACCAGGGGAATCGAAATTTTAAAAAGGAAGTGGGTTCTCTTGAAGGTCCCTGAGTCGTATTGGTCCGGAAAAATCTCTGGTAGTAGCCGATTCCACATGGAAGTTGTGCGAGGAAGAAAACTTCTTTTAAATCGCACGGTGGTGGACCGCCAGTCATCCAGATGGTATGGATGATATGTGAGTTTTGTTGCGATGTGCGATGGTGAAATTGCGCGGATGGATTTAGTCCGAACAATTCCTCAGAGCACTCCCCGTAGTAGATGCGATAAAATACACAAAGAGATGCAACATCTCTTAGCAGTGCCAGTGAGCCAAGCCGATCGGATAGAGCTCGGTCGCCAACGATTCGAACAGCTCTGCGCTGAATGCGATCAAATGGAAGGAACTGGCACTGGAGAGCCCCGGCCCAGAGATGGGAACGGTATTCCATGTGTCGAACCTGCGCCTTGTAAATCTGCAGGCAGTTAGCTGGCATGAAATACTGTCCCATTCTGCTGAGCACGCCAAGCTTTTTAGAGGCCAATTTGGCCTTCTCTTCCAAGTGACCACGTAACTGCACGTCACTCGATATGTCGACGCCGATAATTCCAATACTGGCTGAGGCAACAAGGGGAGTGCCTTGAAACTGAGGAGATACGACGAAGTGGTTTTTTTTTAGCGGTAAACGCGCAAACTTGTGTCTTCTGGGGATTAAACGACTAGATTTAGTCGCCCCCAGTCCGAGACTTTGTTCAACAAAGTTTCGACTAGCAGACACAAGTTTGTCCCGGTACTCTGCGACGTTTTCCCGAGAAATATTGGCACGGCCAGTGTATAAAGAAAGCATCACCAGTGCTGTCATCTGCAAAGCAATAATTGTTACCGGTTTGCAACATATCATTGATGTGCAGAAGAAACAGCGTCGGTGATAGCAGGCAGGCTTGTGGAATACCAGCATTAATGGGCTTGTATTCGCAGCATGCCGTCTACTACGACCTTGATGCTCAGATCAGTAAGGAAACTGGTGATCCAATTGCACAATTTCTCGGGAAGGCCATAGGAAGGAAGCTTCATAAGAAGTGCTTTGTGCCAGACCCGATTGAAGGCCTTCGCTATGTCCAAATTAACGGCCAACACCTCTACCTTGGACTCTACTGCCTCATTTATGAGGTAGGTAACCCAGAAGATCATTAGCCGAGCGACCGCAACGAAAACCGTACTGGCGGTCACTAATCAGCTGGTGATCTTCAAGGTACCGCATGAGCTGGCTGTTAATAATGCATGGAATTATTTTAGAGAACAAGGAGGTGATGGCGATAGGCCTATAGTTAGACGGATCAGAAAAACATTATACATTAATTCAAATTATAACAAAATTTATAAAAAGTCAAATTTTTTGGTTTGCTAGATATTTTTTTAAACTATATTGTCTACTTAAATATATATAATCTAACTATTAAAATGTTACGCACCCCTGCTATTCCCAATAACCTTGCATTGGTTTTATTTATATTTGGTATCGCTTCTCGTTGGCCGTAGTACCTATAGGTCAGAATAATAATAATAATTGGAAAAAGAAAATCTAGAAACTTTAAAACGAAAATTATTATTTTTGTTTTGTTTATCAGTGTGTTTTATTTGTTTTATTATCTGTTATAAATAATACATTTATTTTTTCTATATATATTTTTAATTGAATAAACTAATGTTTGGCAGCGTTGTGATTGTTGCACTGATTATTTACTACTCTATGTCATCTCGTGGATGTCGTAAGAGGTGACACAGACAAACTAAAACAGGCAATGGGATGACAAAATATCAGGAAAATGATTTCCTGATAACTACTCAAAATGATAAACAAGAACATTGAAACCCGCCGCGAAATACCCTCAATGACCCAATCTATGTTGCCTACGTTCGGATGTGGACTTTTATAGGCCGTAATAAATGAATGAATGACTGCCCCACTGCAGCTTTATACTGAATTTGACGACTATGTGTTGATGCAATATTTATTTTTGTAAAATAATATTTTTTTCCTTCCTTTTTTCTTTCCTTGAAAACGTCTTAAAAAATTTCACAAAATTTGAAAAAAAAAAACTATTTCACAGGAACCTGTCGCGACGTACATGGCACCGGTAGATACCCAACCTAAAACACCTGCTCACACATTGATAGAAAACTCCGAGGAGGAAGAAAAGACAAAGAAAAAGAAGCGCATGCATAAGAAGAAAAAAGGTAAAGGTCATAAGAAGCATCACGGAAAGTTAGAAAGTAAAAAAAAATTCAGTCGCGTTAATTCAGTGGAAATAGAAAAGAAAATGGTATCTCTTGAAGACAGTAGTTCAAATGTTGCTCAATAGATGAAGATATTAAAAGTTAAGTGTATGTTGTATTAAAGTAATTAAGTAAACACCGCAATATGGTGTTTTGATAAATGGCATTGATTCTTCCTGACGGCTATCATAACCAGCTAACCAAAGTAGGTATATACATAATATAGTATACGTTTGGGATGCAGTTGATAGCTTCCCATTATTTGGAAGGTATAACCGTTGTTAATGCTTCAGTCATAACTCTTATAAGTAATCGAAAGTTGCCGCTGACCAACGAATGTACACAGAATTATTGTTCAAGTGCGTATTGGCATATGCGTAATATATATATATATATATATATATATATATATATATATATATATATATATATATATATATATATATATATATATATATATATATATATATATATATATAGGTACATTAGAAATATTTTCCTATTTGAAACTTAAACCTATTGAAATTGTGGTAAAACTATGTGTTTTGAAATGTGATTATTTTGAACAGACAAAATGAATTTATAAGAATTTTTATGATTTTGATGAGTTTATTCATTCATTTATGTCAGCGGAACTGTAAAAATAAGACAAATGAACAAAGGACTGAATTCTTGCTATTTATTGAATCTATAATGATTAAGAAAATGATAAAACTGTAATAAATCACAAATAAAGTATTTATAAACGTTGAAAAAATATTGAGTGTTTTGTTCATGACTTCCTCCTTAACGTCATAATTTTAATAGAAAGCCATTTCTAGTTAAATTAAAAATTTCATTTTATTCCTCCAACTCATTTTATTCCTTAAACTCCATTGTATCCCTCAATTATGAGCTATAAACAAGTAAAAGGTACTTAACGACACTAGACACTGTAATAAACAATCATATATTTTATACAGAAAGTTTTGAAGTATCGCATATTGTTGCGACCAAAGAGTATGACAATAACTGGAAAATGAAATTGAGGAAACAATCACAGTATTTGTTTCCGTCGAGTTGATATTGTATATCAACATTCAACACCAATTTTGTGTATGGTCTGACAAACAACGCTTTATCTAAAACTCTTCAAGCTGTTGCCGTACACACATAAAAATCTGGAGGTAGCCTCGTGGGCCCCGTACGCTATTTTATTATATTGCATACCATAGGCGATCGTTCAAAGTGAAATAAATAAAGTAAAAAATAACGTGGAACCTACTAGCTTATATTTTTTTAGGCCTTGTACTTATTACACTAAATGTGTTATCTCTTTTATGTAAGTAAGAGTCTCAAACGAACACACTCCACCTGATGCAAAATGAATTCTGCTAGGCACATATACTATATTAATTCTCTAAATCAATTCAGAGTTAAGATCACATATGTGTCTATGAGACAAAGGGTGCTACTCATTTTCGTTGCTAGTTGTGAAACGATATCTGATTCAAGTTACTTACCATGTGAAACTATGAGCATGTTGTTTCGTTGTTCAAGCCGATCCATTTATCATTTCATCATTGGTTACAGCCTATCAAAGTCTACTTACTGCTGAACATAAGCCTTCCCTATAGATTGTTACTGCTGAACCCAGTGCTACCAATATAATGACTTAAAAAAATTGTCGTAGTTGTCACGCTTGGCTTGAGTACCGCAGTTTCTCTTTCTGTATGTTAAAAGAAAGAACAGAATAGAATAATTTTTATTCAATACGAGCGACCCGCCCCGGCTTCGCACGGGTGAATTATCGATGTACAAGCGCCACCTAGCGGACCTAATTAAGTTTTAAGACCGTCTAGGGACCCGCTCAAATACACACAAAAAATCATCAAAATCGCTCATGCCATTTATGAGTTTTTGCAAGACTAACGGACAGGAATTGATTTTGAACTTTACTTCCTATCTGAAATTTTTCGTAAAATTCACGTTTTTATGGCTTTAAATTTAAAGTTGAAATTCGTATGTTCTATACTGATTTGTAAATGTAACAAGATTTATCACAACCTAGTAAAACCTTCTAACTAAACCATTGTGTCTGTTTTATGGCATTACCTTCTAACTTCTAAAAGTCTCGTTTCCACGTCATCGTTGCTTGCTTCCGAGTGACAGTTTAGACCTTCTTCTGTAATGACGCGGCGTACATACCACATGGTTACCGGTCGCGGGAGAAAGTACCCTATTGATTAACGAACGAGGCTCTGATGAATAAAAAATGACGGTGAAACACTTTGAAAATGCTGAATGCAAATGACACAGCCTGGAGATGTAAAACAGCATCACTAATCTGAGAGTATTGGCTCAGTGCTCTCATCAGATAACATTCCCAGTTTCTTAATGCTTTTCTAGGTAGGAAAGCTTATACCCGGCAGTGGCTTAAGGAATGCTTTCAACGATGAAAAAGAAGATTATAATAGCTTTGAAAATATTTATTTTGTATAATTTACGGCCTTGTACTTATTACATTTAGATACAAAGTAGTCTAATATACATTTATACAAATAAATACAATTGAAATCAAAAATCAAATTGAATCGCTGAACCGATTGTTATGAAACTTTAAAAATATATAGAAGGCAATGCGTGTGATCTAGGATTTATTTCCTATAAACCATGAAGAATTTTTTTTGTGAAATCCAAAAACATTAAATAATTGGTACTTGATGAATATCGCATGGATTAATACAAAAAAAAATCGAACAAGACTTTCTTACTTCAACACTATTTTACATCAGCGTTAAAGGATAAGGTGATAAGTCTTTTTACGCGAAATTATGAGATCTTAAATTTTTATATTAAACGTTTTCCGCATCGAGCAGTTTCCAGGATAAAACTGAGTTTAAAGTGGTTTTTCGATAATTGCACTACTTGCCCAATACGAAGATTTTCGTTTAAATTCTACGCGCATTAAGTAGCGTGTAAAAGCTAGTCTATAATAAAATACCTTTATAATTTTTCCAAATGCAATTGAAACCATATTTTCAAACAAAACTCATGTTCGATATCTTCATGATCTTTGGGCTAGCTAAAAACATTTATTTTATTAGTTTTATGTTTTTACAAAGAAACCACGGAGTTTAATCACATCAATCAACTATATCATAAATAATATAATATAATATATATCAATCACAATAAACATTTAAAACATAGTTGTTCATGTCTTAATAGAATGCTAATAACATGCTGAGCTCAACATAAGCCAGTTACTTCGATATTACAAACAAACAATTCAATTTTATTTACTTACCTGTATAGATTGCACGGACCCCAGAACTATGATGAAGCATGCTGCGTACACAGAATGGGCTGACGCATATTCTTGCACGAGGCACAGGTGCCAACCTGCTGGACGAAACTTCGCTGTCTACACTGTAGGGTACGTAAATTAATTTTACTCAATATGACTAAGCGGCTGCGATTTGCACAATGTTATATTTTACAGAACAAGTTTTCGACGCGTTGGGTTTTTTTCAACTGGGTTTTAGAATATAATTTGTTGATCTCTTTCTTTTTCTTGTTGCAACGCCGAATTGAAAGGTTAACTTAAATTTGTAAGAAATATTTTGTTTAACATTGCCAATTATAACTGTTTTAGTAACTGTGATACCATTTTACTCGAAGAAATAGGGAGTCGACAAAATAGAAGTAACGCTCGCTGTGTCATGACCCGGATTCAAAAGTTTTAGGGTACTGTCATACCGATAGGCGGCAGCTTTGTTTGTTTAAATCTGGTCGCTAATGACCAGAAAATGGTGCGGCGATAGGCTCTCGGGTTCGATTTCCGGGTTTTGATTGGGCAAAGGGCTAGACGGACAACAGGACGCATGTATGACCCAGTCGTGGTCTTAACGCGAGCTACCCTAATTACCCCGTCGGATCCGGGAAAAACCTCTTCGACGATCCCCAATGGCCAATGAAGCGGAGGCGTATTTTCCTTGGTGGAGAACAACCATAGTTCCGACTGTTAAAGGTTAAGTTGTCGTGTTCCGTTTCTGCCGTGATTAAAGTGTATGAGAATTTTCCGTTTTCCATCGCTTCCAAAATGATTGCACTAGCCGGTCTAATAAGTTATGACGTGAAAGAAAATGAAGTTTATCATCGTCTATGTCCATAGCAGTTAAAATTTCAGAGGTATGTGTAATCTATATTATACGTCCTTGAAAGAATTTAGAATATGTTATTTGTAGCGTATACTAACCAAACCAAACAAGTATTTATGCAAGAACATTATGTATATAAATTCGTATAAATATTACGAATTGCGGAATTAGCTAAACAGAAAACTACAGCGGGTCAAACTAAAATAAATAAGCGTCTATTTACCTATTCGAATAAAGCTACAAAGAAATTTAAACTATTTGCAATTTTGAATTCAACAATATGGCGTACCATCCCCGGTAATGCTAGGTGAAGCTAAATCTATCTAGTGTTAACAAACTAGAGTGCATTGTCCAAGGAATTGGTTCAGCAGTTCGACTCGATCAGGCCACAAGACGCCAGTTCCAAATCCGCTCGACTGGACCAGAAAATGGTCGCGCTAATGATCAGAAAATGGTCGCGCTAATGACCAGTAAATGGTGCGGCGATAGGGTCACCGGTTCGATTCCCGGGTTGGCCCAAAACGCTATTATGCGTTTGACCCCCCAAAATCTCCAGCCCTCCCGAGCGGAAATAGACTGGTTTTTGTTGTGATGCGGTGGAAGAGAGCGATTGACGGCAGTGAGCGTCTTGTTATGGGTCGGCCATTTCCACCACCTCCATCTCGGCGGGGCGCGTTTCTTATTGGTCGAAAATCACGTCATATTATAGACCCCCCCCTTTCAGTACGCGTGGAATGGAATGTGTGGATAGGACGTAAAGGGACACTGGCAAACAATAACCAACCGAACAAAATGTGAGAAACGGGTACTCCGTTTCTTTTTCCGCGCAACCGTTTGATAAAGTAAATCGGAACTGGTCATGACATGAAGCAACTTTTAAAGAAGTTTATTCCTCTTTTGCTACCGAGTACGAGTACCGAGTATTTTGCTGCTAACATGTCTGTGACTTTCTTTGTTTGAATATGTTTGTCGTTTCTCTCTTATATATTTTTATAACCGTACGTTTCACATTTTGGTCCTTACCTTTTTTTAAGCTATTGCATAGCTTCTATCGCGGGCTTTGAGTGCGGGAAAATCCAGAAATTTCTTAACGAAAAAAACCTCACGCTCTCCGACGGGCACGGAGGTGTGGCTTGAAGGCTGTGCATTGTCTAACGATGGTCTAACGTCGTTTCTTTTCCTCAGCCTTCGACACGGTGTTTGTGTATAAATAAAGTGTGTTGAAATTTTGAATATGAATGAACAAAGTGCATTTATTATTAATGAAGAAAGTCACGAAAAAATAGTGAAAGAAAATGAGTGAGTACTCTATATACATACCTACATTTTATTATTATCACAAATGCAGTACTAATTTTGAATTGAAAATATAATATTGCTATAAAGATAACCTAAATTTTTGATATTAAAATGAGCGATATTAAAAGTAGCCCTCTTTATATACACACACACACACACACGCGTATAGTTTAAATTCTCAATTTAGATTCTCAATATGAATATATATTCAATTAACCGGACTAATTGTTGCCGTTAGGGATTCGGATAATCGAAAATCTGGATGATCGAATGTATGAAGAAAAGCGGATTTTGTGCATTTGTAGTACATATGTACATACATAATGTTATGTGTTTATTAAAAACAACAATTTCAACGAAAATCAATGTTTATTAAGAAATTATTATTTTTTAATAAACATTGATTAAATTCCATGAAGAGATATAAATCTATATAACCATCCGTTACTTGCGACAAACACACAATCTTTTATTGTCTTCCAGTGGCAGGATTTAATTGATTTTACGCAATGATTTGATGTAGTCATGAAACTGTATCGATATATGAAATTTAAAAAAAATAAACATTTGCTATCACTTGGCCGAAGTTTACACTTAACCAAACTTACTTTTGTACGTCATTTTACTTAAGATTAAAAATAAATAATGTCTTCGCGGCAATATTTTGGGTTTTAAGGTACGAAAGTGTAGTACTCTATATATATTCAATAATAATAGATTAGTTCAATATATGTTAGATACATAAATATCCAATTTTGTTTTTGATTTATTTTTAACTGTTACATTAATTATATCTATTTTTTATTACTTATCTTCACTATTTTAGTGCGATTTTCGTACAGACTTACATAAAACACACATAACCACCCATATCCCTTGTGTGTGTATATCCCCATTCACATACGTACAAAAATACATACGCCTCGCACACATATTTTACACTCAGTTATGTCAATATGAATGAAATATAAAATCTCCCAAATTTTTGGGCAATCGATTCGCGCTATTATTACCGAAGTCACGCACACTAATGCAGGCATGGTACGTAAGATATGGGCGTCACGTGGTACTCACGCACACGTAAATTAAAAACTGGCGTCACTGTAAACGGTGCGATCTGTTAGCAACACGGTATCTGTACCTATAAAACATCTTTGACTGTAATGCTTTTTCACAAAGCAAAGGGCCAGATATCATTTGCCCAGTTGATCGTTTTTGTAAAAACCAACAATACAAAGCGTCTTCTAATTGCCAATTTACTCGCGGACATAGGTCCTTATGTCCGCGACGGGGTTTGTTAGCGCCTGATAGTAGATCGTCTTATCTCAAGCGGTGTGAAGCGATGATTAGTGAGGTGCGGGAGGGGGAGGCTAGCTGCATTTTGTGCGCGCGGTCGGTCACCCCTAAAGTTGGGCGTTATAACATACAACAGATAATATATTTCATTATATATTTTTAATCTTACAACACATTAGAATAATAAACCATTGACTGTTATAATATTATATTCATTATCGTTAGAAAGCGTCATCTGTTTACGTTTCGGTACGCGTCGGCCGAGACAATGGGAGTCAATAAAATAACTACCTACATTCATTATGCCACAAGGATTGCGTATAGCTTACACTAATTTAAACTCTAAGCTAACTTAATAAGAGCTTATTTTACTAACACAAACGCGAAGCCGGGTTGTTCATATATTGAAAGTCTCCTTGTTTTGTCTTAGACTTATGTTAATAGAGCGTGCCATTTGAACTTAAAGACAATTAATTGGACAATAAATAATAAGTGACAAATCTTGCCGTGGAGCGTGGAACTGAGTAGTTGCGCGTCTTGTTAATATAATTGCCGTACGCCGCCCTGACGTATGTACTGCGCGAACCTGAGTTTTTTGCGACGCGGTCCGGTGATACAGTATCAAGGAACATTACAGTATTTTTCACAAATAGTGAGTTCGTTATAACGCGGGTTCGGTTAAATCTGGTTGAATTTGATTGGATTAACCTAAGTAACTTGAATTAATATCAAAGAAAAGAAATACTGCATAAATAAAATAAATAAATAATTATAATTGCATATTGCATAAGTTGATAAAAAATGCTACGCAATAGCTTTACCGCGGCAGTCCCCGAGTGCCACACGTATTTTTTTTATGTTGTCATTTGAATTTTAATTTCTTAGCGCAAACTTTAAGTAACTTATTAAATTTAATCATGACAGTAGTATGTTTATACCAGTTCTGGCTAACTTGTCAATCCTAGGCTGCAAGGATTAAAGTCGTCCTTTTAAATTTGCAACCCAGATGTTATTAATTTTACCTATTAAGACTTGTTTAATCTCAGGGTCTGCAAAATTCATAAAAATTCCCTTCCCTTTAAAATAATATGCTGAAGCAAACATCTATCAAAAGTTAGCGTTTTCTTATTTATTTATTATCAACTTTTTTTGTTTATCTTGACTGTTTTCACTATTGCCTGTTTTCGGATTAGTGTAGGAAGTAGGAAATGGAAGATTTCGCCGTAAACTTCATGTATGGTTTGTGGATTGTCTTATTTTTTATAATGCTCGATGCAATATCGCATGAAGTGAAGTGCAATATCGGATAAAGTGAAATGTTTTAGTCTAGAAAGCGTATAAAACAGAAAAGGTTTCCCTCCCCTTAGGCATGGACAATTCTCATAACTATCAAAATATTGAATGGTCATGAGTAGTGTGTTTAGATGTGCAGATCAATTTACTAATATCTAATTGATATCCGGTGGGCCTGCACCCTATTTATTATTAGCGTTTCCTTTATTATCGAACCTTTCTTCTTATCTATTGTTCCTAACTACCACGATATTCCGAATCACCAATAAAACACATTCCTTAATTTTGATACAATTTTTATTTCTAAAATGTTATTGCTTATTATCTATAAAATAGGAGCGAAACATCTCATCCACTAAAATATCGTTGTACAGTGTAATATGCTCGTAAAACTATGCATTGAACATCACTGAAACTTATATAGCAAATACATTAAGCAATATTCACCACAAACAGAAGTCCACTCATTCTGAATCGTATCAAAATTCATAGAAAATTCCTTAAATATATTATTAGTTAATATATTAATATATTATTGTGTAATATATTATTAGTTATAAATTCATATGGATAAACCCCTTTTCCATTTTAAACGAATGAAATCTTCATTATTAGAGTAATTTCTATGTAATTCTTGAAATTAATCATTACTGAGATTTTTGTTAAATCTTAAATGAATCTACGAATATCAATATAATTTCACGGTTATTCATTTTTAATTTTTTGGAAAAGGATATACATTTTTATTTAATTTGAGGGATAACTTCGACTTCAACATTACAAAAGCTTAATGCGTGGACAATAAAACGAGCATCATAGTGACTAAGGTTGTGTAAAAATATTACATAAAAATACATATTTGCACTATTTTACACCCCTCCCAAGCTTATATAAACAGAACTGTAAAGGAATGGATCCCATATGAATCCATTAAATCAATGGTCCCCTAAATTTTTTATAAATTTCTTGGAAGGCGCAGCCCGTTTTGAGTTATATTTATTTTGAAGTTTATTGTGTAATATGATGGATGGATTCTTCTAACTTGAGGATCCATGAATATCATATTATTTATGTGCGATAACAGTTACTGCCTATTTACTGTTTAATATTCGTGCATGTACTGATTAAACATTTATTATTTAATACTCATGTTTGGCTATCGACTGTAGATTATTATTTCGCAATTGTTCTCTTGCTTATAGTTAATACTGTTTCAGATGCAAGCGCGTGGAACCACCGGAATCCGCCATCGAATGCGAAGAAGTTGTAGAAGATACTAATATGCAATTCCCGCACTGCTGCACGCGTCTCAGGTATTTTAATTTAAACTATGAAAATATATTTGTTAATTATTTATTTACTCATGTCTAATCGATTGTGTAAGCAGTGCCATAACGGTTTTTATTAAACATTTTATTTAGCGGATTGTTTGTAAAGTTTAATGTTAAGGGTCCTGTATGGTCCTGTACCATTACTAAATTCACTATGGCTATAAATGGCCTTTTTTATTTAATTACATAACTGGCTGTACCCCGCAACTGCGCCCGCGTCTAATTTAGGATTAAATTTTTTTTGGGCATGTACCTAATTCTTTTTCTAAATCAAAAGTAGCCTAAGTTCCTCCTCATAACATCAGCTATGTGCCAGTGAAAGTCCCGTCAAAATCGGTTCAGCCGTTTCCGAGATTAGCAGACAGACAGACAGATAGACACACAGACAAAAATTTATTTTTTCTTATAATTACCGTATATACTTTCATATGCATTTAGTAAAAACCTGTTATTTTGATATTACAAACAGGCACTTCAATTTTATTTATTGATTTATTGATTGATATTTTAAAATCAGTTGTGTGACTTGTGTGGTGATGATTTTAGGTCTTAAGAAAATCCATTGCCTGCCATATCCTGCAGGCAACGTTAAAGTGAACTATAGAAAAGCCGGTAAAGTAAAATCTTGCGGCATTCGATTCCGAAACTGGATTGGTGATTGGAGTATCAGATGGTGCAAATCTGTCTAGCTAGGAATAGACTCAGATCTAACGTTCAGCAGTAAACGTCGCCCTGGATGTGTGTTATCCAATGCGACGAAATCCATTTGACGGTGCGCCATACCGCATCCCAATGCATTGTGTGGCCTCGCACTTATTTCTTATGACTTTAGATGTTTGGTGGTGGAACGAGGAGAGGTTTGGACCCGCGTGATAGGTCAACCTTGGGAGACACTTCCTGCGACGCCATGGAGTCACATGTACAAGATGAAGAAACCCCCGCCCACTACTCGTAACAGCAGTTTTCTTACAAAGTTTGTATAATTAATGTTTTGTGTTATTACAAACCATGGTTTAATGATAGTCACAGGCTTAAATAAGAGTGTTAGTAAAGAAATAAGTCACAGACACCACAGGCTTCATGAAATTTAACATTTTTTGTTATATGAGAGGAGCAAACGAGCATACGGCTCACCTGATGGTAAGTGATTACCGCCATTGAACAACTGCAACAACTTCCAGATACGTTGCCGGTTTTTTAAACAGGAATAGGCTCTTTTCTTGAAGGTCCCTAAGTCGTATCGGTCCGGAAAAATCTCTGGTGGTAGTTGATTCAAATATTTGCTGTCAAATTCCATATTTGACTACTTTATGATATTACTTAATTGAAACAGAGTTAAGATAAAACGTGAAGGTTTATCATAAACTTTTTGTAATTAGGCGAATTACAACTAAGCGTAGTTTGTTGATACTCTCGGGTTGAGGCTATGGTTTAAAAAGACTTTTGAGTTTAGAAAGTTTATTTCTGAATAATGAAGTCTTTTTTAGTGGATTTATAGTCTTAGCGAAATTTAACATTTGCTCTCATATTTTGTACGTTAAATTTTAGTTATTTTCTTTATTATTTTCCACGGTACTTCTTTATTGAAACAGATTTTATAAATATATTATTTACCACTTATTTAAAAATACAGATAGTGTTTTATAAAAAAAAATATATTATATGTTAACTGCTAGCCTCTTTATATTTTAGGGAGGTTGTGATCGAAACTGGGACTTGGGCAAATGCGTTTGACACCCGATTGAGCTGAACTGGGCAAACTTGTGTAACTTCGATGATAATGCACTCTATTAATATGTTTATGCTAACTCTAGCAACGAAGCAAAACAAAAGCTTGTTTGCGAGACGTGAAAAAAAATTAACTATATTACATCTCTTTCATCCAATAGGATCGGTGAGGGTCCCATATATGAGCTAGCCGCGGAGTCAGATGATAGCGGCAAGAAAGTGTTCAGGGCGTCAAATAAGGTGACCACTGTCAACTCGGACTGTAAAGACGTGGTACCGAGGGCGTACCAGGCATCGGACATAGTCGTGAGTATATGAGTCACAAATTTTTAGTATTGTCATTTATTTGTTGCCTCTTTCTTAAATATACAATAATAATACCACAACAGCTAGAATTCTACACCAGCAGCTCGCTCTGAAATACGGTCTCGTGGACCGGAAATTTCCGTATTACAAGTACTTGCCGGAAGCCGTGCTCGAAAATGACCGCGCCAGGCTCTACTTGGACCGGGCCATCATCACAGACAGGACTATTCTTGCGAATAAGCCTGATATTCTGCTGATGGACAGGGCACAGTCAAGGATATTTTTGGTCGACATTACCATTCCGTATGACGAGAACCTCGTGAAAGCCGAAACAGATAAGGGAACAAAATATCTGGACCTGGCTCACGAGGTGACCGTCATGTGGGGTGGTCGGCCGACTGAAATTATTCCTGTAGTCGTCTCTGCGAATGGCCTAATCCCAGTCAGCCTCTCAGGTCATCTGAGGCGACTGGGACTCCGTGACGGACTGCTCCGGGCTCAAATGCAGAAGGCAGTGCTCCTTGATACCGCCCGCATCGTCCGTCGGTTTCTTTCCCCTTTCCCCCTAACCCTCGGCCGTTTGGTCTCCCCTGCCGAGGGTTTCCATCTGGTTGGATCTTTATTTATTAGTTTATTTTTTGTATTTATTTTATTTTATTGATATTTATGTATATTTCTTTTCATTTTAATTTATAATTATATATTTTTAGAAACCAACCAGATGAGAAAACTATACAGATACCCCAATAATAATAATAATGTCCTCCAGACCGAATTCCGGCCACGGCGGCCTGCCTCAACGGAGGCTAGCCATCGGCGCAGAACAGGATTATAGTGCCCAAGTGTATGCGCAAGCACAGGTGCACTCTCTATTCCTTCACTCTCATTATCCGATGGGACGGTAAACCGACACGACCGGAGAGAGATCAGGCGCAAGACCAACGGCTTTACGTGCTTTCCGAGGCACGGGGGAGAGACACCGCCAACTTCCCTACTCCGGGCAACTACTGAGAATTTCTTGACGGAAAAACTCAATAATTAATTTTTTGGCCCGACCCGGGATTCGAACCTAGGACCTTATGATCAGCAGTCGCACTACTACAACCACTAGACCAACGAAGCAGTCATAAATGTAAATATACAACACTGTTAGACCATTCCACTGGTGTTCTAGTTTTCGATCAAGACGGCCATTCTTAAACAAAGACAAGTCATCTTGTACAGGATGGGATTATGGTGCACGAGTGAGTGCACAGGCACAAGTACACTCTCTGTGCCACTTCTCTCATAGTCTGATTGGAAAGCAATCTGCCAGGCCAGAGAGAGATCAGGCGCAGGATTAACAGTTTTACGTGCATTTCGCGGCAGAGGGGTTGAAAACTTGACTTCAAAACTTGAGGGGAGAAGTTCTGGACAGAATAACCAAATAACTGATTTCGCCCGACCTGGGATTCGGAGCCTAGTGCTTCAGTCCAGTGCATCAACGAGACAGTCATGAGTTTATAAAACGCTATGCTGGATACACAAAGATTTTGTAATAATCAGAACTTAATAAGATCAGATGGCAATCATAAGAAAAGGGGAATTTTTCCTAAAACAGTCTAACTCGCTGCAATGACAACAAGTTTTAAAATTTGAATACAGTGGAACTTTATAGAATGTAGTTATTTCGGTATTGTATACGGAAATAAACCGCATCTTTCTGATTTTTATTAAACTCAAGGTATAATAATATAAACCTATCTATCCTATCATATAAATCGAAATATCTATGAAATAAGCTTTTTACTTATTTTATTTTTGATACTATTCCGCTTTTGAGTCCATCTGCATTGGTATCATTTAGATTTATCCGATCTTCCAGGCAATCGGAATTAATGCACAAAACTCAACTGACTACCTTCATATATGTCGCAGGTTTATGATAAAACCTAGTTTTGATCAAAACCTAGGCTTTTGATCAAGAACCGGAAGAACACAAATTTACTACTTTATTATATCATGAACATGACAAAGTCCAGTTTTTGGATCAAAAACCTTACTTTATCATAAATTTGCGGCATACACACTGAAACTATATGTAATCAGGTGGGGTAAGACTAACATAGTTTCCCACCACACAGAAAAAAAAACGGTTTTTATGAAGAAGTTCTTTGTCCCACTTTCAAAGTATAAATCATACTAATATAGCGATAAAATAAACTTTTGTATAATTATAAAGATTTTGCATTAGTGTTTTAAAATCAGTAATACTGAAGAAAACGTAAACCTGGAAAAACTATTAGTCTTCCCCTGTCACCGGGGTAAAACTAACAACAATGTTTTTACTTTAGCCTACGTACTGTTGCGCGCCATAGCTGATTGTTAGCGCCATCTGGTATCAAGCAGCAGAAATAGGAGCGTCAAGATCTTTTTAGAACTCTCCCACCACCGCCATCTAGTATCGAATGGAGGAACCAGGCTTTTTAGAAAGTCCCACGTCACGAACTCTAAGCTCGTAACAGTACTTTATGCAGTTTCAGAAGAAAAATCGTAAATGATAACAGAAGTTACTTTTCTTTTGCATCTTATGTATAACTTAACGATTTTCCTTTTGAATTACTTGTGTAAATAATAAATAAGGGGCATTTATGGGGAAAATAGGCAGGAAATAGGCAGCACTATCTTGTTGATAACAACAATAATACAATAAAAAACAGCGGTTGCCAACCCGTTCGCCAAGCATGGCAACTACGGCAAATATCCATCTGAGTGAGAGTTATTAAGAGACGGCCCACAGTCCCTGGCGGCCCCACTATTTTTGGCTACGGTGGCGACCATGGTAATTGCGAGGCAGGGATGCTAAGAATCTCCGGTGGAGGTTCAGTTGCCACCTAAGACGACTGGATCTGACACCAAAAAACACACGCACCCTGAGAACTGACGAGAAGATCCTGAAGCTGATATAAGAAATAGAGAAGTTGCGTGGGGATATTATAAGATGATCTGAGATCAGGAAGGAAGGGGAGGACGCGGTAATCCTCGAATCTGGCAACTTTTTCGTCCACCGGGAGGGCGACCATTTGTCTCAAGGAGGTGTCCGATTTATCGTTCACAAGTAACTCATTCACAACGTTGTAAATATTGTGACCAAACGATATTCATTGAAGGTCATACAGGTTTATGCACCAACGTCGGCATGTCCCAATGATGAGGTGGATGAAATGTATGAGGATATCTCTAAAGCCATGCATTCCTCTAAAACTCGCTGTACGGTGTTAATGGGAGACTTCAACGCAATACTAGACACAAGTGAGAACGGTGAGCTGAAGGTATGGAAATTCGGAATACGGCAACGGAATCCAAAGACCAAAAGCTGGCCGACTTCTTGGAGAAAAAGGGTCTCTTTATGATGAATTCTTTATCCCAGAAGCAGCCCCACAGGATGTGGACCTGGTCCATTCCCGAGGGAATGATAAAAAGTGAGATTGATTTCATTATGACGATTAGATGGTAACTGTTCAGTGATGTCTCAGTGATCGCGACATTGACAACTGGTAGTGATCACCGAATGATTAGAGGCACAATGAACCTACACGTTAAGTTGGACAGGTCTTGTCTAATAAAGTCAACTCTCCGTCCCATTCGTGCTCTAATTCATAGTACCAAAAACTTTCAGCTCGAGACGCGCCTAGAAGACTGCAATACAGTGGATGATATGAAAGACAAGCTTGTGGAAACTGTTCATGCGGTTGGAGCTAAATTCTCTAGGACCCGTTGCAGAGAACTCAAAAACTCTTCGAGATCAATTTTTCGGAACTTACGCAACTTCAATACAGCTCGTGTTCAAAAAGCGGTCGAGTGGAACTAGGGCCCCAAAGTCTTTGCCAGAGCTAACTGTTGAAGCTGTAGAAAGTTTCTTTCTAACACTTGAGCTTGTGAGTGAGATTGAAAGGTCCTATGGGCTTTACCCGTCATCTTTAAAGCCTATATGATGTAAAAGCAAGTCTTATCTGAAACTATTCCGATGATATCCCAGACATCAGTCTGAGCGAGATTAGAATGGCTCTCCAGCACCTTAAAAAGGGCAAGGCCCCAGGCGAGGATGGAATTACAGCGGAGCTTCTGAAAACGGGTAGAAAACCGGCACTTGAAGTCCTTTAGAAGCTCTTTAATTCCGTCTTCCATTGTGGGATTACTCCGGAGGCATAGAGCTTAAGTGCGGTGGTCTGTTGTGTGGTGGGTGGCTTGTTTTCCAAGTCGTCTTCTTGAAGAACTACAGACTAATTTCCTTCTGAGCCGCGTCTACGTGCTGTTTTCGAGACTCATAATAAATCGTCTCGCACGCAGACTCGAGGACTTCCAGTCGCCCAAACAAGCCGGTTTCCGCACTCTGCGCGATAAACTTAAAAATGAGGATACCCGTAGAACCAAAGTTACCGACATAGCGAATAAACGACAACCGATGGGGAAAAAAGGTTCTCGAGTGCAGCCTCGTACGGTAGGTGAAGTGTAGGGTGACCGCTAACTAAATGGAGTGTCGACCTGTGACATGTAGAAAGTCGATAATTTTTGCGTTAATTAAGACGGAGTTTTTACATAGAAGTTTGAAGTAAAATTATCCACCAATAAAATGTTCAACTTGTGGCAACTCTAATATAAGTTTGTCTTGCCTCTGACAAACTGATAGTTTTTCCCCAGCTTACAACTTCTACTCTGTGGTTTTGTTTCGTACGTACGCACGTTTTTCACACACACACACACACACACACACACACACACACACACACGCGCGCACACACACACGCACACACACACACGCACACATATACACGCACACACACACGCGCACACGCACATATGCACACACACACACACACACACACACAAACTTACACACGCATGCACACGCACGCACGCAAGAACGCACACACACACACACACACGCACACGCCGCCGCGCTCGCACGCACGCACACACACACACACACACACACACACACACACACATACACACATACGCGGTTAATTAACACAGGTTAATTTTATATATAATTCTGCCTATATACATCGAAACACTTCAAAGTATTGCGATAGTAGTTCACCTTTATATAAGTAAATTTGGCTAATTTGTTACAGATTGCACTGTCTACGGACAAGCATGAAAAACAATCCAAAAGAAAATTAGAAAGAATAAGGTACTTAATGCAAAAATTTCTCACATTTACGAGTATATGTATACATTTAAAAAAAACTTAATCGACTTTATAGTAGTATAAAGTTTGACGCAGGTCACGCAGGTGGTATTGTGTGCGATGACTCAAAACTTCTATGCTCATTATGCAAGACCACTACAGACTATACTACACATTCAACTAATTGTACAAAACGGTAGTTGTATCAATATTTGTAAATTATTACTTAGGCGCAATCTGAAATAGTAATTAGACATTTTATACCAGAAATTATTTAAGGTTAACGTATTAATATTTAAGTTTTTTTTATCAGAAAAAAACCATTGAGGAAAGCCAATTCACCTTCTTTTCCTAGAGCTGACGTAGAGGAAGAAGTTCAAGAAATACGTAATGATGCAGAGTTTGAAGAACCTCTCACTTATACTGAAAAAGTAAGGATAATTTTTTTAATCGATTCTTAAAATATATGCCTAGTTAATAATTTGCGGACTACTAAATAAAGTCTTTAAAAAACAATAAAAAATATATACGTGCTCCTATGAAGCAATATATGGGGGAGGACTGTGTTCGGTCGTGGATTTTAATACAACGTAATGGTAACGGTAAGACATATTTATAGTTGTTGCCTCCTGTTGAACCGTTGTTTGTTCAATCGTTGAATTAATGGAATTTGTTGTCCACGTACGTCTATTCGTTATAAGTAAATACTTTTAAAAAGACATTCTTAATGAAATAAAATAAAACTTATTAACTACCTAAAGAGTGCAAAAGAAAACGTAAAAAGGAGTTAAATAATATTGATTTTCTTAACCTATATACAACTATGGACATAGAGACAAGTAATGCTTTCTCAAAGTATTTTTTAAGTTATTTTTATGTTTTATGTTCTTCATTAAATCATGAGGTAGTTGGTTAATAAGTACGGGTGTTATCCGTCGTCTTTCACGTTTTCCATAATAATTTTTGACATTTGGAACATACAGCTTAGGTGTTCTAGCTGTAGTGAATTCAAGAAATCATCACTATAATCTATCATTCTTAAGTTAACCATCGAATAGATTGGTAATGTAAGAAACTAATAGCAGTAATATTATGGATAAACTAGATATACAACAACATCTGAAAAAGATTCACCACAGTCTAGAAAATAATGTTTATGCTGCTAATAGACTGCCCATGTATACCCACGTATACATGGGCATAATAAACCAGGCTCACATTGGTTAGCTTCATAGGTATATCCATACGAATGGCATCGGTCAATATTTTGATTCATACGGACGATCACCTACACGATAATGTCATTTAGAGTTTTCAAAAAGGAATTGTAACATATGGGATTGGAATGTTGATAGGATTCAGAATGAGTGGACTTCAGTTGGTGGTGAATATTGCTTAATGTATTTGCTATATAAATTTCAGGGATGTTCAATGCATAGTTTTACGAGCATATTTATAAGGACCACACTGTACAAGGATATTGTAGTGGATGAGATGTTTCGCTCCTATTTTATAAATTAAGCAATAAAATTTTAGGAAATGAAAATTGTAACAAAATGAAGGAATGTGTTTTATTGGTGATTCAGAATAGCAGGGTTTACAACGAGGTATAGATAAGAAACGGTAATGACGATATTCAAGAAATAATAGATAAGGGGAAAGATTTCATTTCATTTCATTTCAATGGAAAACGATAATGAGTGTGCAGACTCACCGGATATCAATTAGATATTAGTTAATTGATGTGCACATCTCCGGAACCGCGCATCCTACGCAAAAAAGGACCTCAGATTCATGATCAGAACATGCCAAAACCTTGTGTTTTTTAGTATCCATCGACCTACCGCCAGCCGATGAGGGTTAGTTCTGGCTCGTGAGCCAAAACTGGAATAAACACACTACTTCTGGCTCATATTAATTCACTTATCTATTGTCAAACCCTTGTTCTTTATCTTTGCAACATTTTGATCGGGTCCATAGGACTACCTTTTTTGTCTAATGTACGCTGCATTTTATAATGCTTTCAAATATGCCTATGCAAATTTGCCGTCGACAATGCTAAGTGATACACTCGATTGTAGGCGGTACTAAGTTGTCATAGAAAGGGTTCAAAGGCAGAGCAATCATACGCTTAATATTTCGTTAAAACGCAGCATACTATATCAATCCTCCATAAACGTATGGCTTTGTCTTTGTCACTAATATAATTATTTAGCGCAGACCCAAGACGCGTCCAGCGCGTGCGCGCGATCCACGAGAACTGATGGTGAAAATTATTTTAGAACGGTAAGCGTACAAGCCTACCTGAAAATTAAACTGTTACAATAAATGAAAGCCAACGTACTAAAAGGAATAAAATCCACATTATAGCTTCTGAAATCGGTGCTTAGATCTAGTATATAGAAGAGTTAAATAGCCGACTTTAGAAGTCTTGCATGACACCACCTCTGAAGTATAAACTTTTTTTTAAATAAACAATCATTCAAGTCGGTTCACAATTGATGAAGATATCAACTGCATGATAAAAAGAAAGAACATACAGTCATATTGAGAACCTCTCTCTTTTTTGAAGTTGGTTAAAACCCATGTCTATACGCGGACACAGCTAGTATTTTATAAGACTAGCCCCACGCTCCGGCTGCGGCAACACCTCCTTTAGATTTTTTTACATGTTCAGGAGTGATCATTTATTTTATAAATTTTTCGATTTTACGAAAAAAATACTCCAAGTTATTTGGATAAAATATAGCCTAAATAACTCCTGGCATTGCTTTCCTGATATTATTATTATCTTATAATATTGCTCGGACTGATAAAATTTACAAAATGGTTATTCACAGCTCAATTAAAATTAGTTATTTCGATATTATACCCACAAACTTCAATTTTATTAATATGGAATATATGAAAAACAATTGTTAAAAAGTTTTTAATTTGCAGCTGGGTAACTCAGATGAAATTACCTGGACGAAAATTCCACCCGGCCGGTGGAACGAACATGATCTATCTATGGATGCCGAAGCACCGCGGGTAACTTTAAATTTTCCTATTTAAAAGAATACTTACCTATACAAACAAGATTTAATGCTGGTAATGATGATAATAATTTTAAAGGATGATTTACTGCAGTAAGCGCAAAGAAGAAGACGCAAACGAGAATGCGGCTCATCTGATGGTAAATGACGACCTGCGACGATGAAAATCCACAACACAAATGGAATAGCAGATGCACTGGTAAAATTTAAAATTTTGTACAATAGATATACAATAGATAACTCAGAAATTACTGGATAGAACTTGATCACATTTATATGGGACCACATAAAAAGCACCAGCTTTCAAATAAAAATGGACCATCAAAATCGCTTCAACTAGAAAAAGTTCTGATGTTACGAACACAAAAAATACAGTCGAATTGAGAACATCTTCTTTCTTTGAAAGTCAGTTGCAAATGAGCTTGTTTCTTAAAGAGCCCTTATAATTATTGTTACGGGAAAATCACGCAATTGAAATGAAAAAGTTGTGCTAGAAAAAAAATTACCCCCAAATCGGTTTGATTGGACCGACAAGTATTTAGATGGTGTGAATGGTATTATGAAATTGGTCGCAATGTATATTGGTGAAATTTGGCGGCTAGAATTAATCTGAACACTTTCTCTGAAAACTCTTCGTGGTTAATGTTGTAAAAAATTGCAAAGGGACAAAACATCTCCTCGCAGTGCCAGACTTGAGAGACGATGATTCGGGCCGCCCTTCGCTGGATACGGTTAAGAGAATGGCCTCTCAATACATTTATGAAAATTTAATCTACGTACACAAAAATAAAAGTAGTTTTGCAAAAATAAATGATAATCATTCTGTAAATACTAGGAACAGGCACAAGCTAGTAGTACCAGTTACTCGACTCCACCGAGTCATTAATTCATTCTTGGGCAATGTATACGCTTTTAAAACAAACTCCCAGAAAATATACAAAATTTGACATACACAAAATTCAAAAACTATATTAAACTAAATTTGTATAAAAAGGGTTATTATAATATTAAGGAATTTATTGATGTTAATAACCCCTGGGAAGGGTGATCGCTACCAAGCTATTTTTAATTTATTTTGTGTTGTTAATTGTAACGTACATGATTGTATTTGTATTGTGTGCTATTATTTGAAAATTATAGTCCCGCTGGGTTTCTTGCTGGTTCTTCCCAGGACAGAGGTGTTTTTTGCGACCCAGTGGTAAATAAAAAAGTAACTTTCAATAAGTATTGTTTACAATCTATATTGAATAAAAAAGTTTCTGTTTCTGTTCTGTAAGGAGCTGGAACTGGGATGTCAAAGGCCAGAGATAAGAAAAGTATTCGACGTGGGGGCTAACCCGCCGTGTATTGTCGCAAACGGTGTGTCGGCATAAAATACTGTCCTGTTCTACTGAGCAAGCTAAGCTGTTTAGAGGCCAATTCGATCTTCCTCTCCAAGTAATTGTGAAACTAAACGTCATTCGATATGTCGATGCCGATGCTGGCCGAAGCAGCAGAGAGATTGCCCTGAAATGGCAGAGATACGACAAAAGGATTCATTTTAGGGTTAAATTGAACTAGATTTAGCCATTCCCAATCCCGAGACTTGTTTAACGAACACTCTAGTATAGCACGGCCGGTGCGAGAAGCATTACCAGTACTGTGCTCCGCATGAATGTTATTGGTTTGCAACGTAATATTATCATTGCTATGCAGATGAAACAGCATAGGTAAACCATGTTTAAAAGGCTTGTAGTCAGAGCATGTATTGTCTACTATGACCTTGATGTTTCAATCTGCAAGAATATTGATCTAATCGCTTCCAGCTTGGGTTCTATTGTTTCCGTCCATCTTCGTGTCAGATAAACTAGAAGCTCATAAGCTGTGCGAACTGACAGAAACTGTTACGGTCGGTCTCTAATCAGCCGGTGGTTCTCGACATAGAAAGCTTATGAGCTCGCAGTTTATAATGGACCACATTATTTCGGAGAACAATGAGGTGAGGTCAAAAAGTGGTAATACGCCTCTGAGCGGCATTTTTTAAAGGATCGGTTGCACTAAAGTTTTCTTCCATGAGTCCAGGACTTCGCCTTGAGTCTAGTAGTACCGATAAAGACGCGTTACAACCGGCCCTTTTCAACTATTGGCAAGTAATGTCGCTTCCATACATTCTTTAAAACAACTTACAAATATTCTGTTGAAAACTAATATCTCTGCTATAAACAATGATATATTATTTTTTATAAAACTATCTTAACTTTCTATTTATGAAAACCACTGCAAAGTTCATTTACTAACCGTGCCGTCTTTTTAGATGATTTGAAGAAATGCAGTTTTTTTTTAAATTACTGTTAGATATTTAACTTTACAGTTATAACTATGTAAGTGTCCACGAAAACACTGGCACTTACTTTAGTGTCATCCATTATTACAATGGCGATAAGGTATAATAAATATACTATAAAGTCGATGCGGTAGTCATTAACTATTTTATCGCAGGAACCAAACGTCAGACACCAGAACGAATTCCAATTAGATGTGGAGAAGAAAGAAGAGAACCCTTCAAATATCCAAGAGTTATTTGATGCAATCGGAAGAAAGATGCGTCACATCGAGAATGTGGTACAGAGTATAATTAAAAAAATCCAACACGCAAAGCCCGAAAAACCCGAGTTTGGTAGCAGCGTAGCCAGTATAGAAAAAAGGTTGTCACTAAAATAATATTTTATTAATTTATTTTTTATGTTGATCTAAAGAAGTTTTATCATCATTACCATCATCATCATTCACCAATGCGCAATATGCGCAGAATGCTTCACTACACAGTGGTAGCTCAGGGGCTAAGCGCTGGCTGTAAATTTCACAGAACGCAAGTAACCTGGATTCGATCCCGCCGGCACCAATAAAATTGTTAATAGCACTTTTAAGTGTTGATTTACCACGTGCTCGGCGGTGAAGGAAAACAACGAGAGAAAACCAGCATATCTGAGAAATAAGAAAAAGAAATATATTGATGATATGTGAAGTTCACCAACACCCGTTGGGGTAGCGCGGTAGACTTTTTCTTGCCCTTAACCCGTCTCAAAAATGAGAGGAGGCCTGTGCCCAGCAAAGGGACCTATATGTAGGCTGTTAGTTTAATTTTATCATCATCATTATCATTACAACCTTCCATTTCCGTACGGCCGAACACAGGCCTACCTAAAGAAAGCTTGGCACGTCAATACTGCAGCTATGTGTTGGTTGCAGCACGAATAGGTCGCATCGATCGGGGAAAGACCATGTTCACACAGAATATCAGCGTAAATTATCAGCTTAATGCTGCTGTCTTTCGCATGGTGATTGTAGATAACCGAAGGCTGTGGTCCATTTTTGGATGATTTTGAATGATTCAAAACAAACAATTCTCTTAGGGGTATTTGTAATAATAAAGATAAGTTGAATATTTGTCAAAAATCGGGTATTAATAAACTTGTTTGTGACGAATGCCACGCCGTTTACGTGGGTCAGACTGGTCGCAATTTCGGGACGCGCTATAAAGAGCATTTAGCCGCGTACAGAAATTGCAATCCTGATAAATCCCATTTTGCTAAACATCTCTTGGACACTGGACACAACCTAGCCAACGACCATTCCTTTAAAGTTTTACATACTTATAATAAGGGGCTGCGGCTGTGTGTGCTGGAACAGTTGGAGATTTTAAAAAATAGTAATGGTTACAATGCACTGCTGAATGCACAAACAAACGTTTCTAATTCACCTTTGTTAAACATCTTTAAGGCCAATCTTTAATAATAATTTTAAAATTAATAATAATAAATAACTATAATAATATCAATATATAAAAAACAACAATAATAATATTAAAAAATTAATAACAATAATATGAAGAACAATCCATACCTATACTTAGACAACTTGCCTCACAACCTAACACACAGGTAACTGAATAAGGTAGTTCACAAGATGATACCAAATCCAGCACTAATATACACTTGGCTTAGGCCCGTGCTATTAGTAAACCGGTAAAAGCCGAGATATGAAAGTAAACAATATCATAATAATAATGATAATTAGTCACAGGTTTGTTATCGTACGGTTGCTCGCTACTTTGATGGAGCGGTTGTGTCAGCGTGTATAAATAACAGCTGTTTTGGCTCGCCGCTCACTTATCGGTCAGCCGCCGTAGAGTCTACATCACCTCGTATTATCGTCGATGGTGTGTCTTACTTGGAATAGTGGTGCCGAGAGTAGTGGTGACGGAGTTAGTGCACGCAATTGAGGGAGGGCGGGAGGTGCTCTTCAATCCAGGTAAGAGACAACATTGTATTTAGTTAGCGGAAGGTTGCAAATTAATTAATATTTTTATTATAAGGAAGATTTGCCTTAATCATCATGCTTTCGGCATGGGTCTGACTGACAAAGAGTAAATAATATAAATCACTACTTTTGTAAAGTATCCAGACTGTAAACGTAGTGATTCATATACTATTTTTAGGTACTTTACATATATCTTAAACAAGAAGGTTATATCGCCATCTCTCGAAACCCGTAAGATCACATGGCATATCTTTACTGACGATTTTTGTACATAATGTAACAGAGGCAGTAAGCGTCAACGCGGCACAACAGAAGCCACCAGTGAGCAACCCCTCTTTGTAGACGACTCCAACATAAATGGATACCTTAGTGACGTCACTAACACTATTCTCAGAAGGGCCGATGAACCGAAAGTGAGTAATAAGGAATATAACAGTTAGATATGTAAGTCACATAAATACAGTAACATTAAACTATCCTTATAGGTAAATATAATATTTCTAAGACCTACCTTCATACATACCGATAGAATCTTTAGTTTTAAAGATAGTACCTAAGTTAGAATAAAAATAATTATTGTAAAAATAAAATCTAGAACTTTAAATCAAATAATGTTAGTTTTGTTTTGTTCATCAGTGTGTTTTATTATCTGTTATAACACTTTTATTTTTTCTATAGGTAAGTATATATTTTTCATTGAATAAACTCATATGTATTTGGCGACTGCTCCTGAGTTTTAGTAAGGGCACCGGCAGAATATCAGCGTTGTAATTGTCCCCCTGATTATTCACTGCTTACTCTATGTCATCCCGTGGGTGCGAGGCGACACAGACAAACTCAAAATAATTAAAAAAAAAACATTCAAACCCGCCTGCCACGCGTGGCAACTATGGCGAAATCCCCCTAATAATGCAATCTATGTGAGATGCCTACGTTCGGCCGTGGACTTTTGTAGACCGTAAATGATGAATGAATGATTGTCCCACTTCAGCTTTATGCTGAATTTGATGACTATTTCTTGCTGCAATAATTACTTTTTGTAAAATAATATATACTTACCACTTTGTAGCATTAAATTCAGTTGTTTTTTCTTTCTTTCTTTAGAAATTTTTCACAAAAAAATATAACTACTTCACAGGAACCTGACGCGACATACATGCCACTAGTAGAGACCCAACCTAAAACACCTGTTCACACAATCGTAGAAAACTCTGAGGAAGAAGAAAAAACAAAGAAAAAGAAGCGCATGCATAAGAAGAAAAAAGGTCATAAGAAGCATCACGGAAAGTTAGAAAATAAAAAAAATCAGTGGCGTTAATTCAGTGGCAATAGAAAAGAAAATGGTATCTCTTGAAGACAGTAACTCAAATGTTGCTCAATAGATGAAGATATTAAAATTTAAGTGTATGTTGTATAAAAGTAATTAAGTAAACGCCGTAATATGGTATTTTGATAAATGGCATTAATTCTTCCTGGCGGCTATCGTAACCAGCCAACCAAACAATATATAGGTATTATTACTGCGTACGCACCTAGCCATGTACATATACGAGGACGACACTGAAAGTTTTTAGAACTGGCCACTGGTAAACGATATAATTAAAAAATAAGTTCAAATTTTAAAAATGGAATTCTTTGCCAATATTATTGCGTATATATTTTATTAATTTGTCATTTTTTACGATTTGACGGCAAATTCAAAATTGTGTCACGTCAGCATGATTTTAACGCGAGAAAATTTTGAGAGCACTTGTTTTGGAAAAAGTTCGGGAGAAATGACCTCACAGTAGGATCAACCTTCACCACGACAACGCCTCGTCAAGCAAACAATCGACTACTTAGCGACGTCAGAGATAGAATTAGTGGGTCACCCGCCCTATAGCCCCCCAACCTCGCACCTTGCGATTTTCACATTGAAGTAATATGTACTTACGTACTAGAACAGCTATCTTAAAACAAAAAATGTGCGCTACTCTGTGTTCGCGCGGTTGTTTTTTTTATCATAGAATAAACATAGGTAGAATGACCCGTAGGTAATGGTAGATTGTATTGTTAAATAGGTAAATTATATCGAGAAAAATATTTAAATTTTGTTATTTATTTTGTATATAATATTTGCCTATTTAATATAATATTACATAATATATATCACAATTACATTTTAATTAAATTTTTATCTGAATATTTTAAAAGGTATCTATCCATGTCAAATATAAAAAACATACTGAATGTATGTACTTATTAAAATAACATCTAAATTACAAATATATTTGTTTAAATTAAAATAAGAGTCGTTCGTAAATGCTGGGCACGCGAGAGTTAAAAATGGACGAATTTATTCCACTTTGACTTTGATGTGGAAACCTAAAAATAAAATAAAGGAATAATAAGCAGATTTAAACATGAAAAATTTAGCCTAATTATAATAACTTGTATATGTTTCTACAAAAAAAATGTGTATAATAATATATTCGTCATAAACTTAAGTACCCACAGAAATTTCGCATCTAAACATATTAATTGAATAAAACTATTATTTACGGATTTTATCGCGTTTAATTACTTTAATTTATTTTTATTATTATCCCGACGTTTCGGGTGCTTTACAGCGCCCATGGTCACGGGGGGGACTGAGATGTTTGACGTCCCAATGTCATACGAGGGTGGATTGAAAAGTACTCGGCCTAACACAGATCCATTCAATTCTAAAAATCAAATCTACCCACATTATTTAGTTTAGTTCAGACTAGTTCATTGTGTGAAGTTCGAAACGTGTGCGATAATTAGTTGTGATTTTATAAATTTAATAACAAAGTAATCGGACATAATTTCCGCGAATGGAGCAAATCGTGCAGCGTGCCATCATTAAGTACCTCCATAAGAAGGGGCTATCATCAAAATTCATCCATGATGACATGGTCAGTACATTAGGCGATTGTGCTCTGTCATATTCATCCGTCAAAAAATGGATAGCAGAATTTAAGCGTGGTAGAGAGAGTGTGAAAGATGAACCCCGCTCTGGAAGGCCTTCGACGTCAACTACTGACGAAAATATTAAAAAAAGTACTTGATTTAATAATGGGAGACCGCAGATTAAAAATTAGAGAGATAGCCGAGATTATAGGCATCTCTTATGAACGAACTCAAAACATCATTGTCAACGAGTTGGGTTTCCACAAGGTGTCTGCGAGGTGGGTTCCGCGACTGCTTTCAGTTGAACAAAAAAGGACGCGATTGACTATTTCACGCGACTGTTTGGAGTTATTTGAAACCGATGCAGATGATTTTTTGAATCGTTTTGTTACTATGGACGAAACATGGGTTCATTACTGTACACCGGAAACAAAACAACAATCAAAACAGTGGAGAAGACCTGGTTCACCACCCCCTAAAAAAGGCTAAGTCGATTTTGTCGGCAAATAAGGTGATGGCTTCAGTATTCTGGGACTCGAAAGGTGTGATTATGATTGATTATCTTGAAAGGGGTCAGACTATAAACTCTGATTACTACTGCACCTTACTACGTCGTTTACGAGAGGAAATAAAAGAAAAACGTCGAGGAATGCTCAGAAGAAAAGTCCTGTTTCATCAAGATAACGCCCGTGTTCACACGTCAGTACAGTCATCGGCTGAAATTCACAACTGTGGCTTTGAACTGTTACCGCATCCGCCGTATTCACCTGATCTGGCACCATCAGACTTCTTTCTGTTCCCTAACCTAAAAAAGCACTTGGGAGGTCAAAGATTTTCGACAAACGACGAGGTCAAAGCAGCTGTAGACGCATATTTTGACTCTAAGGAAGAATCATTTTTTTTCAACGGTCTAAATGCTTGGAAGGGGGAGGTGGCAAAAGTGTATTGAACTTGATGGTGATTATGTAGAAAAATAAAAATATAACTGATTTAGTATGTGTTTATTTTCTTGGTTAGGCCGAGTACTTTTCAATCCACCCTCGTAGTTAGTCCGGCTACCTTCAGTTTTTTAATATTAATTTTTTTGGTCCGATTTACGCAAAACGAGCTTATAGTATCATGAAGTCTTGCAGTGGTATGCTTGGGTTTGGGTTTAATTTTGTTAATTATAGGATCCCAAGCAGATGGTAGCACCCAACCATCTTCTCTATTGAAATTTGGATGTTTTTTAATTTCAATAGCTTCGCGTATCATCCTTGGTAGGAATCGGTGTTCTTTTGCGAGAATTTGTGGTTTATCAAATCTAATGTAATGGTGGGGACGATCTTGAACATGTTCGCAGACTGCAGACTTCCCGGAGCGTCGGTGCTTCACATCAGCTATATGTTCCTTCACGCGGGTTTTTATAGATCTCTTTGTTTGACCTATGTAAGAGAGACCACATTCACAATCTAGCTTATACACACCTGCATCTTGTAGAGGAATATTACATTTGATGGATGGTAAAAATTGACTAATCTTCTTCAGCGGCTTGTAGTATGTCTTAATGGACGCTCGCTTCAAGATGTAGCCAATCTTGTCCGTGACTCCTCTAACATATGGTAGTAGGGCAGGCGCGCGCTTGACTGTGGCCGGCTTCACTCGTTCACTGTGACGTAGGCGCGGGACCCGAAACTTGTTGTCTTGCAATACTTGCTTGACGTGCTGAAGCTCCGCGGCCAGATGTTTTCTGTCACAGATCCCTCGTGCTCTCTGAAACAAAGATTTACCCACGGTAGCTAACTGTGAAGGATGATGGTGAGATTCACCATTTAAATATCGGTTGGTATGGGTCTTTTTCCTATACACAGTGTGACCAATAGTGTTATCAGGATTTCGGATGACTAAAACATCTAGGAAAGCTAACGAATTATTTGCCTCTAACTCCATTGTGAATTGTATTTTAGAGTTTATGGAGTTAAGGTGGTCTAAAAATGCAGTTACTTTGTCAGATGGTAAAATTGTGAAAGTGTCGTCTATGTACCGCTTGTAGAACCTTGGATTTACAGGAGCAGTAAGAAGGGCTTTCTCCTCAAAGTCCTCCATGAATATGTCGGCGACTATGGGAGACACAGGTGAGCCCATCGCCACACCATCTACTTGCTTGTAGAACTCCTCCTTCCACAATAGATAGCCAGATGTGAGGCAATTTTCAAGTAGTATTGCATATTCTTGAGGCATGTTATTTTCTTCTAGCTTCCTAGTTACAATTGAGATGCAGTCCACAATAGGTAGGCATGTAAATAGTGACTGAACATCAAAACTGACCACAGTTTCATTGTTAGCGAGATGTAGGTCTTTTATCTCACTCACAAAATGGTATGAATCCTTTGTGTGTGCTCTAGTATGTCCTCTTAGTGGTGATAGTATTTTTGCTAAGTATTGTGCCAGCTTATAAGTTGGTGAATCGATCTGGCTCACTATGGGACGTAGTGGAGCGTTTGGTTTGTGTATCTTCGGTAACCCATACAACCTCGGTGGTTTTGCACATGATGGTATTAGCGAATTCACGTCGAGATTTAATTTTTCGGAGTATTTCTTTATTAAATCGCTAGTTGTTTTAAGCGTGTTAGTTGTAGGGTCTGTTTTGACCTTTTTATATGTACTTTCGTCCGATAAAAGTTGTTGTATTTTAAAATTATATTCCGACGCGTCCATTACTACCGTAGCATTTCCTTTATCCGCGCGGAGAATCGTGAGTTCTGGTCTGTTCCGTAAGTTATTTAGCGCTGTAAATTCGTCTTTGGGAAGGTTTGGTTTCGGCACTGAACTACGACGTAACAAGGACGAAATATCTTGACGTATGGCCTCCAAATCTTCCTTACCGATATTATTCTTAAACAGACAATCCTCAACACTGCAGATAATTTCTTCGTACGGGATTTTTCGCGGAGTTAACGCGAAGTTCATTCCCTTCGCTAATACTTTCATTGTCGGTTCGTTCAGTGTATGTTTTGACAAATTATAGACAGTGCGTTGTTTATAGTTTGTGTCTATGGACAACGGTTGTTTATTGTTTTGGCGTTGACTTGGATGTTTGGCATTTGATTTGATCGTTAATTTTTGATATTTTTTCTATTTGTTTATTTTTGCATTCATTGTATTTTGATGTTTCTCGTTTGTTTAAAGTTTCAATGCAATTATTAAAATCAAATGTCGTTAAAATTGTCTTTAGTTCACTGGACAAATTGTCTATGGTGTTGTTTATGAAATGTAAATCGAACCGTTTCTGCTGAATCACCGTCCGTAACAACTTTTTACTTGCCTGATTTAGGCTGATTTAGGCAAGTAAAAAGTTAGTAATGGTACGGTAGTAATGGACGCGTCGGAATATAATTTTAAAATACAACAACTTTTATCGGACGA